AAATACTATTCAATATCATATGCCACTATCCACCATAGTGGATTGTAATTCCTGACAAATACATCACACTGGAGACACTGAATTCTTACTTGAAGTTGAAAAATCCCTCAGTCCCTGGTTTAAATGTGCAGTGCTATAACTGAACTAAACGGAACCATACTGTCTCAGATACAACAAGCGAGTTATAGATCTCACTTAAGAAGATTAAATTATCTTCTTCCTTACTTGGTTAGCAGTGTGGAAAAGAATCAAAACATCAGCCAGCCACAACACTACAGCTGTTCCTCACACTGGAAACATTTTGCCCTGTCTCTTTATAGTGCAGAACTTCTCTGCAATGCTCTTGCCTTAATTGTGCCCAGTAATTTACTGAGATTTACTCAAACTGAACCTACATACTAATAATCCACTTCGCAGTACAGAAAACAATGCACCCATTACAGTATTTTCCTGCATACCTGTAATTTGCCAGGCTGCATCATACATTCTCATCAGTATTTGAACACAGAAGACACACTTGTTTACAATACAGAGAGATTATTTAGGCAGTAACTGCGGATCTTGCATATATATGGCATGTAGCCACATCAGCATTGTCAAGTGGGGGACTTTTTTTTACAGGACTGGTACAGCAGATACACACCCCAGCATTCCTTGTGCAGATAATAAAAAGAGCAGAATAAGCCATATTAACCACAGTTAATATGAGGCACATTTGTGTCCAGAGACACAACCTCACAACTGGGGTAGAGAGAAAACAAAGATAGGTAGTAAATGTGAGTATAAAATACATCTATTATATAGCTCTTGGAAGCAAGATAGCACTTAAAGCATCAGTTCAACCTGCAAGTCAGATGCCTCATACTCTTGTTTAAAAATAACAGAACAGTTACAGCACTGCAGAGGATGCAGCTTCAAAATAACAATGTACTTCTTCACATAATGAAGGGTAACCTAATTTGTTCATATAAGTCCAGGTTAAGTTATGGAATTCCTTACCACAGTCCACTGTCAATATTAAACATTTACAGAGGTTTAGAACTGTCTGCATGTGCTAATGGAAGGAAAAATTAATTGTACTATCTTACATAGATGCATAAAGTCCTTTATCACAAAAAGTGATAGTAAAGACAACGTTCTGTATGGCAACATGGTATATGCTAACAAGCATATAGTACTAGTATATGATTTCCCTTCATTTCTTCCCCGGCATTTGTTATTGATCATTGTCAGAGACAGGAGACTGAACTAGACAAACATGAGCTCTGAATCAATATAGCTGTTTTCTTGTGGCAACAGGGAAACTCAAGGTAGAAAGCAGAACAGGTTTCCAGAGTAGTGCTGTTCTAAGAGCCCAGTATGGGCAACAGAGCTGAGAGGTGCATGAAGCAAGAAGCTGTGGAAATGTGGGGTAAGCACAATCCTCAAGGTCATGATTTCTTTAGAGTTTGATCCTGAGGACCCAGAGGTGACCAGAGGAGAGTCTGTGAGGGATGAATATAGTTAAAATTAAGTTTCAAAGAGAACATGATCATTTGATCATGTCAGAGTGGGTAAACAACATTGAGTAAAACAAATAATCAAACTAGAGAGGGAAAAGTGAAAAGAAGCCCTAGGTGGAGAGAAGGCTATTTAGCCCTGTTGTAAATTCTCAGGAGAGAGAAAAGACAAGCAAACAACATGAACCATAACACTGCAATAATTATACTTAAGTATATTTATAAAGAATCTTGTTGACCCAGCAACAAATTCTGGTGCACAAAAAGGAAGCTCCTGAACCCACACATGCTTTAATTACTCTGTATCAGTTTAGTGCTATTACTGTTTGCACAGATTCAATCTAAATGGAATTTGATTTGAGAATTCAGGTACTGTTCCATTTGACTTTTCTTAATCTTCGTTGTATTAAATTGTAAATAATTCCTCCTAAGTAACTCCCCCGTCAGTTTATTACCTTGAACATGCTGAAGAATTTTGATTGTCCTTTTGTGATAACACTGAAGTTTATGGATAATCACTTTTAAAACTGAATTTTGCCCTCTTGCTCTTCATGCATACCACTATATGTCCACGTTATTCAAAACTAAAGTACAAAAAAGCTGTAGGCTTGATTATATTTTAAGATCCTTTTTTGTTCTTCATATATGCAGATGATCCTCAACACCTCAATTTCTGTGCTCAACAGATTGTTGTCTGATGTCTTCTATTCCCTTGGCTATTATAAATTCAGCCTATGGACAATCCTCTCCTCTTTCTAAGCAAGTCCATGAGAAGATGTATTAACTTTAAAATAAAGACAAAGTTTTATGTGAAAAATCCATATGCATTCCACAATCTAGTATTGCTGTCTAAAATCTACACCATTCAAAGTACAGAGTCCTTTGAAAAATCAGTTTGGAATGCTTAGGATATTCCAACTGGCATTCCTAGCAAAATTAAAGTATAAGTAAAAAAATTAAAAAACTAAGAGAACACAGAAAACACCCATTTAACAATACTGGTGTTTTCAATAAGGGTATAATTAGGGAAACACTTACCTTATTTGTTGTCTGCTAGAATCTTCCTTTAAAAGCTGTCTGGACTCAGCTTTCACAGTGCAGAACACAGACATCTTCCAAAGTCTTAAATTCAGGGAAAGAATAAAGTAAAATTTGATTAATACATTATCCTATCACTACCCAGAATTCTGAAAGAAAGCTACACTAATTTGTTAAGAGCTCAGACAGATTTAAATGAAACAACAAGCCACTACTGAATTTAAATATGAAATTCCATGTTTCTCATAATTCTAGCTTATCTGAATAAGATTTTACTATGTCATCTCAGCAGATAGAACAACCCATGTTATTTTAAACTAAATCAAGTGTTTAGAAATTCACTGAATATGATAATAAAGTTGAAAGAATACATTCCATAAGGAAAAAACCTAGAGACACAGGAAATACCAGCTTTTTAAAGTCAGAGGTGATATGGAAAGAAGTTCTATACTTAATATAAATCAGTTCTGGTTTGCATGTTTTAAATCAACATAAACTTCTTAAACAATTAATGACTATGTGCAGCAACATGTAACTATATATAAACATAAATAAATATACATTGATTTCTGGAGATAAGGAAAAAATTCCATGAGAAAGTTAAAATATATTTGTTCCTCGCACCCTGCCATATCAGAAAAACACTCTTGTGATAGTAGATATACCCACTCCTAGTGGGTAGTATTACTATTTTCATGCTACTGCTACCACTTTCATGCTACTATGAAATAGTGTCATAAAAATATTAAAAATTCAAGGTTTTTTTTCTCCCCCTAAAGTATGGGTATTTTTATACCTTCAGATATACACAAAACTTTGAATCTTTAGAAGAATATAAATATTAATTTAAACATCTGCCTTGAAAGTACTTCTCCTCTTGAAGTTTCCTGTTACTTTATTCATTCATGTATCACTAATTCTGTACTGACCTTTTCAAGATATATAAATACCTGGTCAGTTATACATTTATTTTTACTTATTCTCAAGGATTTAATTTGATCTGAAGCATACCCCCCATAAAAGCCCAGAGATTTAATCTGAAGAATTCTGGTCTTTGTAGGGAAACAGAATTTGTAACATTCCAAGTTATGCCAACTGTTGATTATTGTCACTTTTGAAAATTACAGTTAGTTCGCTGTCAGCCTATCTTTAGCCACTAGATCCTCTTTTCCCTGCCTTTTGCAAGATAAATAACCCTTTAGGATTCTGTATTGTACTGAAAGGTACCCAAAAACTAAGTAAAACATAAGTCTTTTCCAGAAGAAATTGGCCAATTGAAATCCCCATGGTGTGCAGTGCATTTTCCAGATGTAGCACTACGCTCCACAGTTTTGTCACACACGCTTCAGACAGGAGCACTGGAACCACCCATGATTGTTTCAGATTCTAAAACAAAGATGACTTAATACAAACAAAAGCTGAGCAAAGAGCCGTATCGGCGAGGCTCGTTATAAGCCCGGCTTGGCTCCCACAGGAGCAGCTGTTCTGGCACAGGGATGCTCCCCAGCCTCACACCGACAGCGCTGCTGGAAAAAACCCTCCTCGATGTGTAGCGCACATTTGCACCGCCAGAGCCCTTCTCGGCACTTCTGGCGCTCCCTCCCCCTTTTCACACTGCGCCAACAGAGTAATTTGTGCCGTTATATGAACGGATTTCGGAAAATCACCCTGGATTAATTTCCTTCTCCTGCTAGGCTGTGTTTCACAGAATCACAGAATCGACTGGGCGAGAAAAGGCCTCCGAGATCATCGAGTCCAACCCATGACCGGACACCACCCTGTCAACCAGACCACGGCACTGAGTGCCACGTCCAGGCTCTCCTTACACACCTCCCGGGACGGTGACTCCACCACCTCCCTGGGCAGCCCATTCCAATGTTTAAACACCCCTTCTGGGAAAAAGTTCTACCTAATGTGTGCCCTTCAGCCTCCCTAATGTCCACCCTAAACCTGTCAGCCCTTTGCCCCGTATCACCCGCACCAGCTCAGGAGCAAACAAGGCACGGCGCCGCCGACGTCGGGGCGGAACGGGGAACTGCGGGCTGGCACACACATGGAACACGCGGCCGGAGCAGAGAGGAGTGGCAGCCCCGTGTGCCGCCAGCCCGGCACGGTGCGGGGGCACAGGGCGGGACGGGGACGGGGACGGGGACGGGACGGGGACGGGGACGGGGACCGGCCACCTGCCCCCGGCACGACCTCCGGTGCTCAGCTCGGCGGAGCCGCGTCCCGCCCCTCCCGCCCAGCGCCTCCCCTGGCCCCGCTGAAGGGGCGGCGGGGCGCGCGCCCCGCCCCGCCCCGTCGCGCGCTCACCTTCCTCGCGCGCCGGCACAACCCCGCGGACGCGCCTGCCCCGGCGCCTGCGCGGCACGCCGCCGCCCGCCGCTGCCCCCAACCGCAGGCGCCCGCGCGGTCGCCGCGGCAACGGGACGCGGAGTGGTGGAGGAAGCGGGCGGTCCGGTTCGGCCATGTCGCGAATCCTGTGCGGAATGGCTGAACGAGGAGGTGAAGCTCTCCGGCGCGTCGGTGAGTGGCCCTGCTGCGCGGGGAGGACCGAGGGCGCTGCTCAGGGTCGGGCCAGAATCGGGCCAGGGGATTCCCCTCCCCCCCCCCCGGCTGCTCCCCCGGCGGACCCGCCCGCTGGCCCGCTCCCAGGTACCGCCGCAGGTATATGTTTAGTCGTAGAATCATGTAGTCGTCAAGGGTGGAAGAAGCCTTCAGGATCACTCAGTCCAACTGTCCGCCCCGCACTGCCACTGTGACCCCTAAACCACATCGCCCAGTGCCAGACCCAGACGCTCCTTAAACACCTCCAGGAATGACTGGTGGCTCCACCACCTTCCTGGACAACCTGTTCCAATGCCTGAAGTTTTCAAGCTGAAGTTAATTCTCCTCATGGGGCAAGTGCTCTGGGGAGACAGGAGGTGCTGGAGCTTCACCTGCTAATAAGGACTCCAGAGGATAAAAAATATATTTTGATGTGTTTGGAAAGTAGTGCTTTGTTTTGTATGGCAGGTGTTGTGCTGGCATTGCAAAAACATTTGTTCTGCAAGGAAGAGGGAGCAACTTCCTCTTGATAATTAGAGCAATGGATAATCACCAACTGTATGAAGTTTAACAAGGGCAAGTGCCAGATTCTGCACCTGGAATGGAACAACCCTGGTTGTGTGTATAGACTGGGAAATGAGAGGCTGGATAATAGTGCCATTGAAAGGGACCTGGGGATCCTGGTCGATAACAAGTTGAATATGAGTCAGCAGTGCCTGGCAGCCAGGAGGGCCAACCGTGTCCGGGGGGGCATCAGGCAGAGCATCACCAGCCAGTGGAGGGAGGGGATTGTCCCGCTCTGCTCTGCACTGGGGCAGCCTCACCTTGAGTCCTGTGTGCAGTTTAGGCACCACAACATAAGAAAGACATTAAGCTTTTAGGAGCTTAATGCCCTCAAAGGAGGGCAACGGGGATGGTGAAGGGCCCTGAGGGGAAGCCGTATGAGGAGTGGCTGAGGTCACTTGGTGTGTTCAGCCTGGAGAAGAGGAGACTGAGGGGAGACCACATCATAGTCTTCAACTTCCTCGTGTTGGGGAAGCAGAGGAGCAGGCACTGATCTCTTCTCTGTGGTGACCAGTGACAGGGCCCAAGGAAACAGCATGAAGCTGAGTCAGGGGAGGTTTAGGCTATCAGGATATCAGGATATCAGGAAAAGGTTTTTCACCCAGACGGTGGTTGGGTATTAGAACAGGCTCCCCAGGGCAATGGTCACAGCACCAAACCTGACAACCTTCAAGAAGTGTTTGGATAACACTCTCAGGCACATGGTGTGACTCTTGGTGTGTCCTGCACAGGGCTGAACTTGATAATCCCTGTCGGTCTCTTCCAACTCACCATATTCTATGACTCTTGAAGAGAAGCACATTAGATCTAGCTTTGTTTTCATTTGCATTTTGTGTGGAAAATGTAGTAATCATAGTTTATAGATATTGCCACAATCTCAATGACAATGTTTATATTTTTACAACGAAAATGAGAAATTACTACCTAAAGCTTATGTTGCAAAATAACTACACAGAAAGTTTATTTATTTGTGAGTTGAAAAGTATTACTGCTAAGTCAATCTTCTAAAATTCCTCTGAATTATTTAATGAAGTTTGGACTTAGTTTTGTTATAATAACAAGCTGTATTAAGATTAATGTATGAATTCTTTTAATTTTCTTATTTTTTGGAAAAAACTCAAACAACAAAACCCAAAACTTAGTTCCAGGATCATTTCCAGAAGAATTTTCTAACGGCTACCTCCTAGGAGAACTTCTACACAAATATGGTCTTCAGGATGACTTTAAACAATTTTCACAGAGCAGGTTAGTACTTATGGATAACATGTCTCTTACATAAAGTAGACATATTTTAATATAGTATACATATTTTCTCAGAATTTCTAAATGCAGAGTGGGAAAACATGTAGAACTTAGTGAGATTTGAAACATTTTTCAGAGATTCAAAAGCTGCTTGTGTGTGATGCCTTAATGAGTGTCATATATCTAGAGAGATTGATCATACTTCTTCAAGAAAATTATGCATTTTGATTGTAACTACAATAGTAACAGGTTAGACCAAGAATGCAAAAAGCTCTTCAAGGATGTCTCTAGGGCTGGAAATACTGTCACTGTCCCTGTGAGCTGTGTAGAGCCAGGAATACAGAGTTGTGGTGTGGTGGTGACCATTCCATCTTCACTAAAATGAAAATGGTGGAGATACATTGTGAGGCTCTGAGTGAAGCCCTGGTAGAAAATCATACAAGAATGTATAAGTTTACAAGTAATCTGGTGTAGTATCTGTCCTGAAGAAGAACTGAAAAATGTGAACTTGAAAAGTCTTGTGCGGATCTGTGAGCTTTGGTACAGTTGATGCAGTTCATGGAGTTCCTTGGCTTATGCATCAAGAGTGCCAGGCTGCATGAAATCTTCCTTTTTCTTCTGAACCTCTGTTTTTATGTTCTTTGAACTTCCCGTGTATTCACACCCTTCCCTCTGCAAGTCCCACCAATTTTCAAGAGAGCAACTTGAGCACAGCTAACAAAGGCAGCCAGCAAAAAGCAGTTTTGCACAGCAGTTTTTGCGCTCTGCTTCTAAGACTTCTAGATCTTCCAGGAATTTCTGGGATCATTGGAAAACCCCTGGTAACTCTTTGAGGAAGTTTAGAGTACCTGCTGTTGCTGGGGAAAATAACAGGCTTTTACTTCTAGCAGGCTCTAGCAGCTTCTAACAAGTTCTCTTGATTCTTCCCAATAAAAGTGTGCTTTGAGGTGCAGTTAGTGAAGATGCACTTCAGTATGTGCAAGAAGTGGTTAGAAACTCTGCTGAGACAGTGTATGTGTGCTCAGCAAGCGTGGGGATGCGTGACAGAGTGTGATACCCAATACCCATTGGAGCAACTACTCAGAATATCAGAGGCCTCAAGTCAGATTTCTCTCCAGAGAAAGGAGTCAAGTCTCCCTGTGTCAGACCAAAGGGAATGCCCAGAATCTTTACGTCTTCATGAGTGGGAGGTGATGGCTTTGCCTGCAGAGCTATATGCTCATGGAGGATCTGTGTAACCAAGTCAAGCTGCTGCAGAATGAAATCAGTGGATTGGATCTTCTCTGAGACACTGCAGATACAGGAACCTGGACCCGCAGCTGTGCTGAGAGAGAGGCAGGCAGAATCTGGTTGGGTTGGGAAAAGGAGATGACTGGCAAGGAGGTGACTTCTGGCAAGAAAAGGAAGGTGTCTGCTCCACCTGCTGATGTGAAGCTGCAGAACAGGTTGATGGCTGTGGTAGCAGATGAGAGGCTGGTGGCACTGTGCAACAAAACATCTGAGCTGTTGAAGTCTAAACTACATCAGAGCACCAGAGGGAGCAAGTAAATGATAGCACTAGAAAATGGAGGTGCCATCTGCTGACCTGACATGCTAGCCAGAGGGGTTTACTGCATGCTGGGCCTTCAGTCCAGAGCTGCAGAGATTTGTCCAGAGCCCTTGCACTGTTATCCCTGCTGCTCTTTTCTGTGGGTACCAAGGATATTGCCAGAGAGACCTGGAGCCACAAGCACGGGGCCCAAATATTTTTTTTTTCTTATTTCTGCTGGTGAGGTGGATGGGCTTGATGAGGAGTAGATAGATTCCATGGGTCAACAAGTGGTTGTGCAGCTGCTGTTAACAGCAGGGATTTGTTTTTCACAGCCGTGAGATCCTCTTTTGAGAGGGAAGACTGCTAGGAAGATATAGGATCCACCTGGCCAAGATGGGCAAAAGCATCTTTGAAACAGCCTGACAAACCTGGTGAGGATAAACTAGGAATGAGGGGAGAAGGAGAGGATTACTCTCAAACAAGTGAGGAAGTGATGGCCTGGACTGGCAAGCAAGAAGAGGGTGATGCAAATAAGAGCAGCAAAACAGAAGGCCTTCCACCCCAAATGTATGCACACTATTAAGGAAGTGCTGAGAAGATAAGGTTATGGGATAAACATTCACACCTTTTCTAAATTTTTCTGCATTTTTTAAAAATCAACACAACTGGCTGCCTCTCTAAAGTGCCTGTATACTAAAGCATGCAGCATGGGGATCAAACAGAAGAAATTAGCAGCCTGTGACCTGTTGCTGGATTATCATTGGAATCACAGAGAGGCAGTGGATTAGCTCACACAACTGGCGTGCTGCCATGGCTGGATATAGGCTCTTTAGGATGGACAGGCTGGGAAGGTGAGGAGGAATAAGAGCTGCCCCATGTGTGAGAGAGCAGATAAGTTCCAAGACCTGCCTCTGTAGCAGCCATGCTGAGTTGTCTTTCTGCATCAAAGGTGGCAGAGTGTGGCTCCATTGATCAGCCTCCCTCTCAGGTCCTTGAGTATTTCTCAGACTGCTATGCTGAGGCTGAGATACTTAATGGCTTCTCTGTCCTACTCTATTCTACTGGTAAAACTTGCACTCTGAAATCCCAAGCCCCTGAGACTAACAGGAAAGTCTGCAGCAGTTGTTTACCCAGTGTCATCTTGAAAACCTCCAAGGATGAAGACTACACTAACTCTCCAGGCAATTTATTTCAATTTTCTTGACTGTCCTCATGGGGAAAAGACCTTGTCTTATGCCTAGGCAGAAGGGCAACGAGAAGGGCTTTTACAGATATCTCCACAGCAAAAGGAAGGCTAGGGAAAATGTGGACCTATTGAGACATCCATAAGACTTTGATATCCCAAGCCTCTGAGACTTATAGGACAGTCTGTAGCAAGAAAGGAACGTTTAAATAAATTTGAAATATGCAAGTCCATGGGACCTGATGACATATACCCACCTGAGGGACCTGACTGATACCACTGCTAGGCCACTCAATAATCTTTGAAAGGTCCTGATGACTGGGGAGGTCCCTAGGACTAGAAGATTGCAACTGCCACTCCTCTCTTCAAGGAATGCAAGAAGGGGGAATATGGGATGTACAAACCAGTCTGCCGCACCTTGCAGAATAAAAAGTTAAGAGGTGGTGTCACTACAGCCTCTCAGTGCATGTGAGATGGTTTGTGACAATAGGGCTCATCTTAACCTTGAATCAATGGCAGAAAAATGTTCAGTAGTTGGAAGCTGCAGTTATATATAATTGGGTAAGAAATAAGGCATGGACTATTATAGAGAGAATAATGAGCCCCTGGACAGTTTAATCTCAAAATAAGATGAATACTCTGTTACCAGAAGGTCTTCAGGTAAAATTGGGCATTTTTGTAGAATTGTGCTGGAGCTCAGCTGACCTCAAAAGCTGGTTGGTAGATACAAAGGAACTATTGTGAACTCAAGAGATAGAGCAGTGTAGAAAGCATGATGTTCTGACTCAGACTGAAGTTATGGATTTGTTGGATGAAATTTGATGTGTTAGTTGTGATAAACTGATAATTTATTATTATTTGACTTTGCCCTGTATATCTACTGATATTGACTGCTTCCACAGGAGAATCTACATATCAAGAAAAACAGTAATCTGCAAGCCACTATTTTAGCTTAGAATGTAAATTGCTAATTCTAACCTGTGTGTCCATTTCTTTTTATTGGAGAAGAAATATGTCAAAGTGTTGTGAGGTTTAATGGATAATATAGGCTTTTTTTATCATTACGTATGTTTTGATTGGCAAGAGCTCAAGTGATGATACAGCTAATGTAGAAACTTAATTCAAACTCTGTGTGTGTTTTGTGGATGGGGTACCATTAGCTGCGATTGGGGTTAGCTTTTGCTGTCAGATGCACTTTGTGTATTTATGTTTCAGGATTTATATAATCCAATGTGATCTTTGTTTTTTCCAGAAGTTATACTTAGTAATCAATGTGTGTGTACACTGCAGTAGAAAACCTAAGCCAAACTGTGTAATCCATTATTTAAGGAAGTCCTCTGTGGGTTTTATTTTTTTCCTTCTCCTGTCTTGGTATGAGGTAAGTATCATGACCATGCTTAATGCAGCAAGTTGGAACTGAAAATAAGTTTATTTTCTGGTTTTTGTTGTTGTTTTTAATCATATAGGGTTGCAGATGCAAAAGTTAACAATTTTTCTCGCCTGGAACCTACACTTCACCTCCTTGGTGTGCCGTTTAATGAGAATGTGGCCCAAGACATCATGACAGGACAGCATGGGGCTGCAACAAAGCTTTTATATGAATTGTATATTGCTTTAGAAAAAAAGAGAAAGGCAAAGCACCCTGGAGTAGTCATGGAAGCAATAAGACCCGCCGCAACTACAAATCTTAAGTCTATTGAGAGTGTTTTGTATCCAGAGGTAACTAGCTATGCCTATTTTGTATAAATAGAGAAAAGGTAGGATGTGTTTACATGTACTTTTCAAGTGTATTGCGTGCTTCCCCTCCTCACTTTTTAAATCTCCTGTTCAAACCCCAACACTTATATTGAAAAGAAGCAGTCCTTTGCAATGTCTTATACAGTGGCATTACACAGCTTATCAGTAACTCAATAGGCTATTGATCTTCTGTGTTCTGTTTTCCTTTGTTTTGGTTCATCCTGTGTTACCCGCTCTATTTTCAAGCTGTCTCCAGACTTAAAATACTATAACAACAAAGCCTAGTAGTTATTCAGCAGCTGCATTTTTACTTTTATCAGTGCAGATTGCAGACTGCATTGTGGTCTAGGTATCAACTTAGACTAATTGCCCCTCCAGGAAGCCTGTTTTTTACTATGTTGAGCTTTGTGCCACAGTGATTTGGTTCATTCTGTTACATGTCTCTCCATATATTTATACTACACTCCAGCCAGCAATATCATGTGCTGGGTAATACAAAGAGAAAAAAAAAAAACAAAAGGAAAAGAGAGTACCTAAGAGGAAGTCAGTATTGATGTAGTAGGTTCTGTTAAAGACATTCTTCTTGTTTTCAGCAGTAAGATTCAGCATGTGCAAACCATTATTTGTTAGCAGGTTGGGCAGTTTTTAAGAAGCTATATATCATGAATCAAATTCATCTGGGTAAAATTTCACTTTTTTTTCTGTCACACTTCCTGAGAAATAGTCTGCAGGCAGAAAGATTATGAACAAATGCAAGGATAGTACCAGAGAGTTGAAGTATCCCTTCAGCTATAGAGGGATAGCTTAAAGAAGTTAAGCAACTGTGAGTAGGTCTGGTCTTTAGGCAGGTTCAGAACAGCATTTGAATCATAGAATAGTTGAGGCTGGAAGGGGCCTCTGGAAATCACTTAGTCCATCCCCACTGCTCCAGGTAAAGCCAACTAGAGCGTGTTGCTCAGGACCTTGTTCAGTGGGGTCTTGACTGTCTCCAAAGCTGGAGACTTCTCAGCTTGTGTAAGTAAATTATTTACCACCCTTTCAGTAATTTTTTCGTTGTGTTTAAGTTGAATTTTCTATATTTCAGTTTAAATAGAATAGAATATGTCAGTTAGAAGGGACCTACAACCATCATCTAGTTCAACTACCAGACCACTTCAGGGCTGACCAAAAGTTAAAGCCTGTTGTTAAGGTCATTGTGCAAATGCCTCTGAAACAGTGACAGACTCAGGGCATTGACCACCTCTCTAGGGAGCCTGTCTCAGTGTTTGACTACACTCTCAGTAAAGAAATGCTTCCTAACTTGGAGTCTGAACCTCCCCTGGTGCAGCATGGGATGAATCCCATGGCTGGAGTGTGACTATAAATGGCTACAGGCTTTTTAGAAGAGACTGAAGAGGAAGGAGAGGCAGACAGATTGCCCTCTACATAAAGAGATGGATTGTGAAGAATTGTCTCCAAGGCACAGACACAAGCAGTTCAAAAGCCTGTGGCTAAGAATCACAAACCAAGGCAAAAAAGGGAACCCTGTAGTTGGTGTCTGCTACAGTCCACCTGACCAAGGAAACCTATTGACAAAACCTTCTTACTCCAGCTACAGGAGTCATCGTGCTCACAGGCTCTTGTCCTGCTGCGGGACTTCAGCCACCCCGACATCTGCTGGGAAAGTAGCACAGAGACTCCTGGAATGCATGAGAGATAACTTCTTGACCCAAGAAATAGCCCAGAGGGATGTGTTTCTTGATCTGTTGGTCACCAGAGCAAACAAGATAATTGGGGACATCAAGACTGCAGGCAACCTGGGTTGGAGTGATCATGCATTGGTGGAGTTTGCAGTCCTGAGGGATGTGGGTCAGGTGAGGAGTAAAGTTAGGTCCCTGAACTTTAGGAGAGCAGACTTTCAGCTCTTCAGGGAGATAGTCAAGGGGATACCCTGGCAGACTGCCCACAGAGACAGAGCTGAAAGATCTTTAAGGATGTCTTCCATAGAGTGTAAGAGCTAGCAATCACTAGGAGCAAGTCAGGCAAGGAAGGCAAGAGACCGACGTGGCTGCTGTGCAAATGCATAGGCAGTTGAAGCTAGGAAAAGTGAGTTGGGAAGAGTATGGAGGGGAAGTTTGGTTGTGTAGGGATGGGATGAGAAAGGCCATATCAAAGCTGAAACTGTGGCAAGGGACACAAAGAATAACAGGAAGGGCTTCTACAGGTGTGTTAATCAGAAAAGGAAGGTCAAAGAAAGTAGACCCCCTTTGATAAACAGCACTGGGAAACTGGTAACAACAGATGAGAAGAAGGCCGAAGTACTCAACAACTCTTTTGCCTCAGTCTTAACTGACAGCCTCTCTTCCTACACCTCTTCAGTGGATGGACAGCAGGATGGGGACTGGGGGAGCAAAGTCCCTCCCACTGTAAGAAGGGATCAGGTCTATGACCACCTGAGTAAATAATGAACATAATGTACAATCACGTATGTAAGTTTATGGGGCCCCATGAGATCCATCACAGAATTTTGAGGGAATTGGCCGATGTAGTTCCCAAGTCACTCTCCATGATATTTGAAAACTCATGGCCATCAGGGGAAATCCCAGGTGACTGGAAAAAGGGAAACATTGTACCTACTTTTAAAAAGGGTAGAAAGGAGGACCCTGGGAACTACTGACTTTCACCCTCGTCTCTGTACTTGGTAAGATCATGGAACTGATCCTCCCAGAAGCTCTGCTAAGGCACATGGAGGATAGGGAGGTGCTTTGAGGCAACCAGCACAGCTTCACCAAGGGCAAGTCCTGCCTGACCAATACAGTGACCTTCTGTCATGGAGTGACTACGGTAGTGGACAAGAGAAGGACTACAGATGTCATTTATCTGGACTTGTGTAAGGCCTTTGACACGGTCCCCCACAATATCCTTCTCTCTAAATTGGAGAGGCATGGATTTGATGGGTGGACTGTTCAGTGGGAAGGAACTGCCTTGATGGTCACTACCAGAGGGGGTAGTTAATGGCTCAGAGTCCCGATGGACATCAGTGACAAATGGTGCCCCTCAGGAGTCCATATTGGGACTAGTGTTATTTAATATCTTCATCAATGACAAAGTCATCGAGTACCCCCTCAGCAAATTTGCAGATGACACCAAGCTGAGAGGTGTGGTTGCCACACCTGAAGGACAGGATGCCATCCAGAGGGACCTGGACAAGCTTGATCAGTGGGTCCATGGGAATCTCAGGCGGTTTAACAAGACCAAGTACAAGGTGATGCACCTGAGTCAGGGCAAGCCCTGGTACCAGTCCAGGCTGAGGGATGAGCAAATGAAGAGCAGCCCTACTGAGAAGGATTTGGGCATGCTGATGGGTGAGAGGCTGGACATGACCTGACCGTGTGCATTTATAGCCCAGAAAGCCAAACGTTTCCTGGGCTGCTTCAAAAGCAGTCAAGGTCAAGGGAGGGGATTCTGCCCCTCAGCTCCTCTCTGGTGAGACCCCACCTGGAGCACTGCATCCAGCTCTGGGGTCCTCAGCAGAGACAGGACGTTGACCTGTTGGAGAGAGTCCAGAGGAGGCCACCAAGCTGATTGCAGGGATGGAGCATCTCCTACCAGGCAAGGCTGAGAGAACTGGGATTGTTCAGCCTGGAGAAAAGAAGGCTTCAAAATGACCTAATTGTGGCCTTTGAGTACCTGAAGGGAACCTGCAAGAAAGATGAAGAGAGACTTTTTAGAAGAGCATGTAGTGATAGAACAAGGGGGAATGGCTTCAAACTGAGAGTAGGTTTAGATTAAATATTAAGAAAAAATTCTTTATTGTGAGGGTGGTGAGGCACTGGCAGAGAGAGGCTGTGAATGTCCCATCCATGGGAGTGTTCAGGACCAGACTGGATAGGACTTCGACCAACCTGGTCTAGTGGAAGGTGTCTCTGCCCAGGGCAGGAGGGTTGGAACTAGATGATCTTTAAGGTTCTTTCCAATCCAAACCATTCTGTGATCCTATGATTCTGTGCTTCTATTCCTACATGTCCTCTCACTGGATACCAGGAAGAAGAGCACAGCACCTCCCTCTGCACTTCCCCTCCTCAAGAAGCTCTACAAAGCAATTTGTCTTTTTGTCTAAAGTAAAGAAAGTTTGGCATCATTCAAATTCAAGTCTCTGTTTTTTTCAATGGAGCTAGTCCTGGTTTTCTATTCAAACATGTTTAGATGTTTATTTTGTACCCATTTACACAGGAAAACACAGTTTAAAATAAACATCTTATAATTGTCATATTTAATTATGTTTATTACAGTTTCTGACTCTTCATTGCTTGATGTTTAATTTTAGCGTTTGAAAACTTCAGTGCCACATCAGGCTGACTTGCAGCTACAGCAGATTTCGGAACGTTTTGAAACAAGATCCAAGGCAGTAGCAGATAAAATAGCTCGTACACATTTTGCAGAGCAGCAGAGAGCTCAGAAGCTCCAAGAAGAGCAAAGAGCTCAAGACACTGAAGAGGTGACTGCTTACTTTTTATAGACTTCTGAAGATGTATTTTCTTAAGGATATGTGCATAATGGATTAGTTAAAGCCAATGTGAAGGCTTCTTAGTTCTGTGCTACACGGTCATATTTATACAAGAACAAAGGAAAAGACTATGCGTGGAAATCCTTAATATGTAGACACAGAGTCAATATACTCTTATGAGACTTTAAAAACATTACTGTTTAAAAGTCACATAGTTTAAAAATGAGAGTACTTATGTTTTGTCATGTGTGGAAAATATCTGTAGACTTCAAGACTAAGTGTAAATTTCACAACTTGTATGTGTTTGAGATGTCCTTGTAAAAGAACTTTGTGACATTCTTCTTTTGTAAAGAAAAGAAGCATTGTTCAAAAACAGGAAAAGACAGGGAAAGGGGGCCTAGTGGGTATGGCCTCAGAACATCTTGTACTTCTATGTAGCCATTCTGATAAAGTAAAAAAAGAGAAAGGAATTTGTTTAGACATGGGAACACTCATCCAAAGTACAGCTTACAGTTTATATCGAGGAAATGGCGAGCTATCTGAGGTGTTGAACCACACAGAAGATGTAGTTGACTAATTTGATATGTGTTTTATATGGCTAATTAAGGGACAGAGTCTTGCTGTGATTATTTAGCTGTTCTATTGTCACTACGTGAACAAGAAGGAAAAGTCAGTTCATGTATCTAGAAAAGAAAATACAAACAATATCCAAAATATAACAAAAAAAGTTTAAAAGAAAATTTATTAGTACCTTATTTGATATATTATATATTTTTTACTGACTTTGACTATTTGTGTAAAAAAGTATTTTTTCTACTTATATCAATCTGTACCCACAGGTATCTGTAGTGTAATTTATATGTTTGTTACTTCTTGGTCATCTGAGACTCACTGTTCACCAGTAGTATTACTTAATGTGTTACCTAATGGTATTCTCATTTTCTGTACTAGGAAACTGGTATTTTCAGTTTCTGTACTGTATTCAGACCTGAAACAGGGTAACATACTAGAACTAGAATTCAATGAAAGCCCCTAAATGCCTATAAGGCACTGATCCTTTGCTCAAGTCTGAAGCCTGATAAGCTCTTCTTTCCTCCTGAAAGATTGTTTTCTTTCTGGTTTAATTACGTTTACTTCATATAAATATATTAAGTAAATGTATGTATTTATCTATCCATCTATATCTATGTCTATGTATAAAGTACCGTATTACTTCAGAAATATTTAGGTAGTATATTAGGGCCATATGTTGTATTTTGTTTCAAACTATGTATCTGAACACAAGATGTTGAATATTCAGGATCACACTGGAAGAAGGAGACAAAGTGAAGTAGTGCACAGGATTCAAACAGCTGGTTTAAAGGTTCCAAAGCCTCCACCAAGACCCATCATAAAAGCTATTGAAACTAAAAAATTGTTAAAGAAAAGAGAAGCAGAGGTAATTATCATCTATGCTCTTTTAATGTTAATTATATTAACTCAAAACCATGATTTTTGGGAACATTTGCACTTACAAATACCGTACTTACATCATACAAAAGCTGCTGCTATATAACTGTTAAAATATAGTAGACGCAGGCAGTGAAATGGGCTGAATACTTATCATAATTCTGCGTTTGTTTCTTAATAAAAACTGTTTTGACATAAGAGAAAATTTGTATTGAATATATACCATAGGTAGGTACTAATTTGATTTCTAAAACTATTTTACCTTCTAGCCTATTGAGTTGAATATGTGAAATAAAAGTATTAGCATTCCTTTCTCATTTGTGCCTGATGAAGTTTTGCACGATAATATTTGAACTGTTCTGTAACACACTGTAAAGCTGTCTGCTCTATTAAAAATGTTACTAATAGCTGAAATTGACAGTTGTCTTAAATCAAGAGATGATAGCAATGCACCATTAAAAAAAATCTGTATTATCTAGTATGGAAGAGTGCTTGGATTGTAATTCAAGTTCTTGGATTGTATTATCATCAGGAGTGTAAATATTACCTTTTACAACTGTGCAACTGTCACAGATGTATTTAAATGTAGATTGTAGTAACATAGTTGCTTGAGTAGCTATTGGGGATACATTCAAGCTACTGATTGGAAAGCAGATGATAGCCCAGAATATCTTTTCAAATCCCTGAATAGTGAGAATTATGTAAACTGCTGAAGCCCTATGCAAAATTGGAATTATCCTGCAGAATGAATAGCTGCAAATTTTTAGAATATTCTAGCTGATGGAAGTAGGTGTAGCAAAGGACAGGGAACAAGGGAAGAAGCAAAAGGTAGAAGAAGGAAATAGTCTTGCCTTTATTCTTGGTCTAGCTGATGCTTAAAGTATTTTCACTGTAAACCTTTCTGTTGTACATGCATGACAGAAAAGTAATTCCCTAATACTTGTTCTTTGTGATGTTTTGTGAAGAGAAAGGAAACATTAAATTTTGTGTTACTTCTTCAGAACGTATACAAGGAAATAGACAAGTTTGAGAAGTCTATGACAGGAAATGCCTTTGAATTACACAGCCCGGTGACTGACAGGTAATATTTGGATATTAGATTACTAAGAATAGACAGGATCCTACCTCAGGTGTCTGCTATCTATGTAGGCAGCTACTTGAGGAAAAAGTAATGTCTCATTTAGTTTACACTGTGATTGTTCTTTGAGTGATTGTCCCACTGCACATATTTCAATTCCAACACAGTTGCAGTGTCTTTACCTTACCTTTAGTTGTAGTAGGGATGGCTCAAGCTTCCTTCTCTACTTTTTGTCACATATACAGCAAGAAATGGATCAAAGTGCATCTCTTCTGTTAATTTTAGTCACTGGGTCTATGAGGTCATTTAGCCTTGCAGAGAGGTGAGAATGGCTCTGAATATTCGTACACAGTAACACATTTCAAAGGAAATAGAGAGAAGTAACTTTCTTCCTGAAACTTGCCTGTATGTTGATTTATTTGTGAATAATTATAAGTAATAGTCATTCTGTCATCTTTTTTGATATGTATACCCTACTGACAGGAGGTGATAGTCATCCATACTGCTGTAGATATTTCTGTGTGTAAACCTGTAACTGCAAAACTGTACTCAGAGTGATATCTTGAGGAGTAACCCAGTAACAAGGGCACCGAGAAGTAGCCACAGTACCCTCAGAGTGATGTTGTACATTTGTTAGACTTGCATATAGCTATACAGGGATCTGTATGTAAACACCTTTAAGAACTATAATTCATATTAAGTCAGAGATCTTTCTCTTTTTAATCTTTTCAATCAGTGATATACAAGAATCATTGCAAACACAGAAATTGCAAGAAACAACTCAAGAAACTACTCAAGAAACTACAGCACAGACAAAAACTGAGCTGTTAAATGTTTATTCAGATGGTGAATATATAAGGAAAATTCAAAAACGTTTAGAGGAAGATACATTTGCTAGAGAACAACGAGCAAAGAGACGACGAAAAATGCTAATGGACCAGTTACTAGCACATGAATCTGAAGAGGTGAGAAATTGTATGCTGAACTATAGAGTCCATGTGCAGTTAGCAATCTAAAAATTTGCTTACAAATATAAAATCAGAACACTTTTGGAGAGGATAAAGGAAGATATATGCACTACTTTTATGCCAGCCATTGGCTTTCCTTGAGAAATAGGGAAGGTTATCTTTTATTTCTCACAACCTTTATGTCATACACCATACTTACAAACCACAAAAGATAAATGAAGGCAGCAGAGCAAAGATTATAAAAATCAGTTGAAGATCTGCCTTCTATTCCTTGCCACCCCCCCGAAACTTGAACAAAGGAAAATCAAACTCAATTTGCAGATCAGAGCTTTGATTTTTGATGTGTTGTGGAATAGAAGATATGTCTCTGGAGAATGTCTGTGTTATGTCTAAAAATGGATGTTGCAGGTTATTCCATTTGAATCCTGTCCTGTAAAGCACAAGGCTTTTAAGATTTCTCTTCCGATACTCCTTATTCAAAAAGCAGCTCTTAGATTACTGATTTCACGTGTCTTCTCTTTTATAGTGATTGTGTAGAAACAGAACTTGTAATTTGCTGGGTTTCTGTGATTTCTGATTATCATTTATTTTAGTGTTTCACTGTGAGTCCTTAGCTTAGATCATGTGTGTTGAACCCACTATAGCTGGGACTTTCTCCACTGCTGGAGCATAATGATAGCATTTCAGATGTGTAGCATACATTTTATATATATGTATATATTTTTAAGCCTTGGCATGTAATGTCTGGAGATTAAAGAGGAGACTTATCCCAGTCTACAACTTCCTCATGAGGGGAAGAGAAGGGGCAGGCACTGATCTCTTCTCTGTGGTGACCAGTGAGAGGAACCAAGGGAATGGCCTGAAGTTGTGTCAGAGGAGGTTTAGGTTGGATATTAGGAACAGGTTCTTCACTCAGAGGATGGCTGGGTACCGGAACAGACTCCCCAGGAAAGTTGTCATGGCACCAAGCCTGACAGAGTTCAAGAAGCATTTGGATAATACTCTCAGGTATGTGGTGTGAGTCTTGGGGATGGTCCTGTACAGGGCCAGGAGTTGGACTCGATGATCCTTGTGGGTCCCTTTCAACTCGGCATATTCTGTGATTCTGTGAGACTATTTGGAAATGTTAAGAAAAAATTTGATTTGTTGAGGTAGTCATCTGGGAATTAGATGCTTCTCGATGTCTATCTCTGATCTATATTCTTGAAAAACACCTGTAGTAGCTTAGACCAAAAGTGCGTCTATCCATGTATCCTGTCTCTGAGTTCCCATTCAAAGAGATTTTACATCATGTTCTTGGTGATATCCATAGGCCATGAAGAAGTTTTGCAGTCCAGTTGCCTGAAATCACTGAAGTCCCAAAACTTGCTCTTTAATTGCTCTCAGCTCTTGCAGCCCTGGCAGCCTGGACGAGGGGTTCCAAAAGTCCTGGCTGTCCGTCACTGGGGTGCTTGGTGGATACAGCAGCTGTAAACCAGCAAAGCCAGCCAGTGCTGTGAGGAGGTCACACAGCTAGTCCACCTGAGGTTTAGGACAAGCCTTATCAGTTTGGGATGGAGGAACTGTAGCAATGTGCTGCCAATCACACAGGCTCCAGGGAGGCTCCAAATCAAGGCAAAACTAACAATAGTGTTCCTAAATTCCCAGGAAAAAAATAAGCTTTGATATAGGAACAACTGAAGTCACAGACTGTGGGATTAGAAGGAAAGACAAGTGAGCATTTGACTGGAACAGTAGTTTGACCAGATCAGAGAATCTGTTTAGTGGTAATTTGGTTCTATATTAGCAGAGGAAGAGATGTTTGGCTGGAACTTCGAGATTTCAGAAATTAGGTGCCACTTGACTTAAGAGAACTGGGAAGCAAACTAAGGTATTTTCTTTAAAAAATAAATGAATATACAAAATAGTTGAAAATTACTTTTCCCTTCCATTATGTACTGAACCATAAAGGATTTTCACACTGAAACTGCAGCTGCCCTGTAGGTATTAGGATCAGGTTTTTACCTGTGCAGCATAAACTTTGAACATGGCATGAGATCATTTAGAGTCAAATGAATTTCATCCCTTCAGAACGCAGTAGATTGTTTTGTATCCATGCTTATAAATCTTACTAAAAGAACTTTGTTCAAATTTTTTATTTTTGGCACTTCACAGGTTGAAGCCTGGGAGAGAAAATACTCTACTCTTTGTAGAACATAGCGTGACGCCAGTCCGATTTTCATAGGGAGGTGTTGAAAGTGTTTGACAGTAATATGGCTTCATTCCTATTGAACCTTTATCTCCACCATTTCAACAAATTATTTGTGCTTTTTACTTGTTATATTTGGGTGCTCTGTTCAGATTTTATCTCTCCGAATTAAAAATTTATCAGGAATAAGTTACTTTCAGCAATAAATTGAGAACATGAAAATGGGAGGAGAAATGAACCGTTACTAGATTATTACTTGTCAACCAAATAGATTTATGTATTCTGAACTGTAAGTTTTGGTCATAAATTTTATGACCATACAACAGCACAAAATTGTTTCACTTGTATGTAAATCAAACAAGGAAATAGAAAAATAGAAACGTGATACAGTAATTATGTATGAACAACATGAAGCATACACACATTATGGTTTGGCCACTGGATGCCACTGTTGTCTCAAGTAGGTAAACCAGGAAAAAAGTGTGTATTGTGCTCTTTTAATAGTAATTTTTCAAATTATTATGCGGATTTCCCAATTATGATATTTATGATTTCTTCAGGCACTTCACAGTCCTCTGTGAAGATGTTGATGTAAAATTTTAGGTCAAAAAATGGTACTACAATTTTTATGTTGTCTCCTACCATGTCCAGAAGTTTTAAAACTTGTTAACCTTTGGTTTGAGTACTTTGTCCATTCCTTTTTGTATGAAAGATAGCTACCAGGGCTTCAATTCCCCACCCAATAAGCAACCTCTCTGAAACTTTGAGTTTGGTGTTCTGAATCCTTACTTATCTGTTGTGTATCTTTGAGTTAGTTGCCTTTTCATTTATTCTTGTTCCTCAAAAATTTCCTACTAGCTCTTTTTAGGCCTACTGAGCATGCCAAAATATTTGATCACTTAGAATATTGAAGTTCTCTACACTTCAGTAAGCAAAGACAAGGTCTCTTTTAGCTGCTGTAAAGTGTTCTAAAGGAGCATCTTACCATTTGCTTTAGGAAGAGCACATTCACCTAAATAAGGTGCTTTAATTTCTCAATGGACCAACTTTTTGCACCATAAAGTTGATGGTTTAAGTATGACAAGTGACCACTCTGTTAGGGTGGCTCCTTCAATTCCCTGTGAATTAGGGTTTTAAAATCCATTTTCTTCTGGTGAAGTGCCTACTGTTCTAATAATCCATGGCTGAAGGTAAGCAGTAGCAACTACAGAAAATAATGAAGGATATTTATTGCAGTAGGAAACAAATCTTGCATTTTCTACTCTTCTTTGAAACCTTAATGAAATACTAAGTCCAAAGAAGCAGTGGATAGAACTGAGATGGCAAAAGGTACTGTTACTCCTTTTATTGCCTTGAGATAGGAATGTAAGAGAAAATGGACAGACTAACTCTTCAGTAGGCAGTACTATTGGAAAAATTTATCACCTGAACTATATCAAATGACACATAGAATGAATATAAAATTGCTATGATTCCATTGTTTTCCACTTCAGTTGCATGCATGATGATAATTCCCTCCATAGAAAAATAGCTTACAAACAGTAAGTACAAATAGGGTACAAAACACAACACATTCAAAATTAGGCCCTCATTTTGAGAAAAACTTTGTATAGAGACAACATAGCATGCAGGTGAACCACTCTGGGATTAAAGCCTGAGATGACTGCATCTGCCATTAGAACTATCATGCAGTGTTATGAGATTTGGTGCTAGGAAAGGGGAGTACAAAGCCCACATTTTGGCTGAAATAAGAAAAGTGTTGAGATATTTTTATACCAGTTTAGTATTTTCAAGTCACCAGAATTTAATTGGAATGTACTTTATTCCCAGCAATTGTGAAGAGAAAAGAACTTAAAAATATGGAAAGAGGTTGTTTTTTTTTTTAAATTGGCTTCTTCCCAACATCAATATTAAATAAATTATTTAGAAAGTTGTTGGGTTTATTATTGAAATTCAAATAACCATGCTTTGCATAAAAATTTTTTTACAGTTGTCCTAGTTTGCATTGTGTAGCACAGATCTAGACTCTTTGTAGAGTTCTTTCATAAATAATATGATAATATGTAATCAAATTGAATTGTTCAATTATAGGTGTATGTATGTAATGTGTTTTTCCTCTCTGTCACAGCTGATGAAAAAATAAACCAGATAAAAGAAAATAGATGTGACTTTATTTTGGTTTGGGGTTTTTTGTACTAATAACTGGCTTTACCTGTGCCTCTGTTCTTAGGAAAATGAATTTGAAATCTTCAAATCAGTTCCCAGTTTTGGTCCTTACATTGGAATATATTTCCTAGTAGTTTTGCTGCATGTGAAACAAATATCCAGCAAATCAGATATTTCGTCTAGAATTCTGCTGTAGGAGTGGTATTTGGCAATGGGGCTTGATGTTTTTGCTTAGGACTCAGAAGGAGTTCCGGACGGAGATAATGAAGCAAAACTTTACATTAGTTTAAGCATTAGTTTACATACCAGAGAAGGCTAGAGAAGTGTAGTAGTGATAAGATACTATTATGTTATGAGAGTACTTAGAAAAATAACAATCCATAGCCTTGAAAGTATCTGTGTACACAGACCATGCCTCAAGCAATGGTTCAGAACGATTTTCCCATAGTACCAAATAGGGTATTGTATCCATGTCCCAGTAAGAACACTGGAACTATTGCCCAGAAGTCTTGTATATTGCTCTGTTCTGGAATGGTTCTTCCTATTCTCAGTCTCCTGAATAGAGGAGAATGGAGAAGATAATTACCCAAATCCCCAGAAAGAAGTTAAAATTTCAAACCTGTAGAAAAGAGAGTGATCAAGGATCCAGTAGAATGTGGCTGAGAATGGGAACTGGTGAATAGCAGGAATAAGTTAATTATTTGAGGAAAGGGTATATCTTTAGATACAGAAGCCATTATTTCAAATGTGCTGCAGTTTCTTTGCGCATGGGAAATAACCACATTAAAATTGAGTTAATCTGACCAAATGTATTTTTACTGAATATCTCAGTTAAGACATAGTTAGAATTCTCTTCTAGAGTTCTACAATTCTTACATAAATACTGCTGCTATAAATCCTTACATAAATAGTACCACTTCTTACAAAAATAGTACTAATAAATAGATATGTTTGTTGTTCTGGATTTATGTGTCATATAAGCAGGTGAGTGCTGTTATATAAACTCCACTCATATTTCTCATATGAGACACCGATGAGTTGTCTAGGAAATAGTTTATAAACTGTGCTTAGTAGCATTATTTTTTGTCTTTTAGAAGGCTTACCGGGAGGAGCAGCTTGTTTACAGACTAATGAAACAATCTCAGCACGAGCGGAGGATTGCTGCTCAACTCATGCATGTTCGACATGAAAAAGAGGTGTTAAGGCAAAACAGAATTTTTAGGGAAAAACAATATGAAGAAAGACGGCAAAAAGAGTTCCAGGAAGCTCTTGACAGAGAAGCGGTAAAAGATTGTTTTGCTCTCTGAATTGCTACAGGACTATTAGAATGTTATTAAATGGAATTCGTATTGTCATCTTCAAGACTTTTCTCAGGACAGGATGATTTAATGATAAATATATTCTTTTATTTTTTAGTTCACAGTTACAGCTAACATGGGTGATAAGCATTAAGCATGTAACTGTAATTGTGGAACTGAGAGCATTTTGCAGTGTGTTAAAACTTTAGGGGAATTATGTAGGGAGGGAGGAAGAACAGCCCCCATGGCAGGGGGATAATAAGGGATAAAGCTGAGCAACTTAAAGTCTAATTTTGATCTTTTTTTCTATACTAATTTTAACTTTGTAGGGCATCTCTGTGTGCTGAATTTAAAAGGCACAGTCTTGCAGAGGCAACAGGACAAAAGACAGTAGCCTAAGATCTTGTTTCAAGAATCATGTTTTTAATTTCACTTAGATATAATATGTTAATGTCCATTTTTTACAAATGCTGGAGTGGTTACACTCATGAGTGCTTATTTCTTTCTACCTTGAAGCTTTCAGTTGATTAAAAGGACTTAAAATTCTGTGGAAAACTGCCCAGTGCGATGCTCATAGTAGGGCATAATGTGATCCTGTCAAAAACAATTAGTAACTCCAAATCCTCCAACACAGCTGAAGTCCTGTGTAATCAGCAGCTATCTGATCTCTTTAAGTATGCTTTCAGCCAAAAGCAGCACACCATCACAGAAATAATTTTCTACTATGACCAGAAATCTTTTTCGAAGATTGAACAACATCAATAATTTAAAATTATTTGAAGATCAGAATCTAGTAAGATAAATTATTTGTCACATTTTCTGAATGAGTAATTCCACTGAAACCTGTGATTTCACTGCCCCCAAGCACTCAATATGTTCTTAATATGTTTGTCATTAAAGAAGTAAAGCATTTCTCCTTTATTGTATTTTAGCAGTTAGAAAGCAAACAAAGTGGAATTTATAGAATTAATAAAAATTTTTAGATTAGTTTTTGTATTAGTCTGCTTGCTGGCTCTTCAGCTCTGGTGAGAAATGAGCTGTTTCTGTTTTGTGACTTAAATGAACAAGTTAATTTTCATTTCCAGGACTGTGCACCTCTGCACTTTCATTTTCATTGCAGTCTCAGATTTACTCTTTAAAAAAATTCCAGGCTCTTGCAAAACAAGAAAACATTGATAATGAAGAACAAATAATGAAAGAGAGAGAACAACATGAGAAAATTGCTGCTGAAAGAGCTCAGGCCCGCTATAAAAAACGTTATTCTATGTGTTGGGAAGTGATGGGCCAAATCGTTGATATGTCGACAAAAGTAGGAGAATATCGCTACATGACAAAGAAGTGAGTATGGTAGCTGCTAGGCAAAAATAGCAGCTGTAAGGTAGCTGTTAGGGTGCATTATTCAGACTGCTGTAAGCACTGTAACCAATTATGTAGTTTCTCAGACATTTTACATGACAGCTTCAATTAGTTTGTGTGGGAAAATGGTCACATTAGTTTTGTGTGAGAATTCACTGGTGTATAATACAGAGTGAACTAGTGCTACAGCCTTCACATAATTTCTTGAAGATGCAACTAACTTGAATCCTAAGGAGACAAAAATCCACTAGTGCCACAGCTAAACTACTGATTTCCTTTCTTGTGAACAAATTGTTTAGTTAAAAGTTAAAAACGGAATGGTTTCTAGATTGATCTAGTGGCTGAACACTTCCTCAGTGTAATATAAACTGGATGAATTTCCTAAGATAGGTAACCCTGCCTGGACTGTCCAAAGAGTGGCAACTAAGCCCAAATTCTACTGCGTCCTACATGCTGTGATTCCCTCTGACATGCCCTAATTGCACAGGGTTTCTGAGAAGACCCTAAAAGGGCAATAATCTCCACGTGCCTGTGCTGTAGAAGTGTTTAAAAAAACGTAGAGTGGGGCTTTGTAGCTGTAGTTCTTTCATTAGTATTCAGTGATTTGACTGTGGGGTAAGACTTACAGCATTAGAAAGTATACCAAAATCTTAATTGCTTTTTAATGTAATTGTATGTTAAAATAATACTATTTAACCATATGAAATATATCTGATTATATTTTATAGAAATTATATAAATTTAGGCTTAGTAGTTACATGATAAAATAGTCAACCTGGACATAATTTAGTGAAATTACTAATTAAAAAAAGGGAGTTTAACTATTCATACAATTCTAAATTAATTTTAACTTGCAGTAAAAACGTTCTATAGATTTTTGGCAAGAGGAGGCTTTACCCCACAAAACTAAGAATGTTTTGGGGCTGGCAAAAATAGCTATAGCAAAACTGTTACTACACAGCTCTGCCAGCCAAATGTTGTGTGATAACACATTTGTGAAAATACTGAAGCCTATAAGTGCCTACAGCTGTCTTAAAAGTAAACAAACATTTACAGAAAACTGTAATAATTACAGAGAGCATTATAAGCTATAACTAGCTTAGCATGTACTTGTTTCATGATTAAGATTCTTATAAATTTGGGTCTACCATTTTCAAACATCTAACCCTTTAATTTTTGATTTGGAACTGCTTGGTTTTGTTTTTCTTTTTCCTGCAGCCGAGTTCCATTAAAACTGATGCTGGACTGGAAGGAATTTTTTTTAAATGGAAAACCAATATATGAACAAGCCTCAATTCAACCTTTGCCAAATGAACCTGGCCCAGAACAACTTGCAGAGATGAATAAAATGAGTCTATTAGATGAAAAAGATTATGGTGAATACAAGGTACACCAAACTGATAATACATAATGGAAGATAATACACCTTGCATTTTCAGCCAATTAGAATTTGGAGGTGTAATTTATATTACCAGGTTTGAAAATGCAACAGAAAGTAACAAGTAAAAGCAGTAAAATTAAATACTATATATGTTACAATACTAGAAGTCTTAATTTCAGCAATTTCGAGTGAAAACGGTCTAACAAGATTTACTAGTTTGAGTGATCCATTCATTTTAAGATAGTAATGTTTGTGAAAATTATTAAAAATGGCTGACGTTTTTCTTAATCTTCTGTTGGAATAGAAGTAACTATTTTTCAGGGTACCCTAAAACTTTTCTTCAACTTTACAATACATTAGTGTAATTTCAAAATTTGAAGATGAAGGATGAATAGTTCCCTGTTAAAATATATTGTACAATTTTTTCAAAGTTACATTAATGGTGCTTTTCTTCGAAAAAAAAAAAATCCCATTATATATTTAGACCTCAAATAACTTGATAAATAGAATGTGGCAAAATCATGGCAAATAACCTGTCTTTATCTTGTTGGGAATTTATAACTACAATATATATGTGCTTTTATTCACTTCCTGAGCCAATTGGTACGTTTTCTTTTGATGTATACTCCAATGAGTATAAAAGTTATGAGTTTCTGTGGCTTCGATCGTATCGTTTTTCTGATGTATCTCTTTTTAAGGTCCTTATTCACTACATACCAACTCATGTAATGATTTCATGATCACTTTCTTTAGGTGAAAAAAAGGCCCATACCCAAAGTAAACAGGAAGGACATACAGGATAGAAAGGCAGGAAACAGTGGGGAGCACTAATGAAAACTTAAGTTTTTAGTCATATTGTTTATATTATAAAGTCCTCTCTAGATGTAACATTAGTGAAGGTCACAAAGATTTATTGACACATTTAAAGCCTCTTTTTTTCTGCCAGGCTGTTTCAAATGCACAGTCACGTAATTAATTTATTCACAGATGTTGTTAGTCTTATGCCTTTCTGAATCATTATTCATCAAAAGCTGGTATAATATGACATGTAAAATTGTTGGCATCAATTCATACTTACGTGTTCTGAAAACCTAAGTGAACAGCTAATGCCTTCAAAGTATTGCTTCTAGGTAAAACTGTATTAACAGGGCATTCTGGCAATGTTCATGCTCATTTTCCTAAACCTTTTGTAAAAAGCCCAAGGCAGGCAGTTTGGCATCTCTCAAGAATACTGTTTACATTACATACTGACTAAAAGTATCAAGTATATTTGATAAAATACAAGAAAATGCAGTGCTATCAGTCCATTGCATATTAGACATTAGATTTAGCATGAAAGTGTTTGGAAACTACTGTATTATCAATCATGGCTAATCACATAATAAATCACCCCAAACAAGCATAACATTAGATACTACTCAAAATAGCAAATAATTTCTCGTTTCATTTGAAAGTATTGACCAGGAGTTATATAATGCTTACCTGGATACCTGAAAACTTGTTTCTGACAGGTAAACTTCTTTACCTCATGGCAGGTACAGTCTAGCAATTTTCTGGTTAAAAGGGCAAGAAAGCCAAAAGGTGAGGTAACCCATTCCATTTGGAATTAATTTTTCTCAGAAGTCTAATAAAATTTTAAACAACTGATCCATCTCTACTTATATGGTTAAGGAAAAATGGTTCAGATAGTATAAGGATTTGGGGTTTTTAAGGATGTTTTTTCAATTACATATGAAGAAGTATATTTTCTGAGATATTTTGGAAAGGAGATATTGTGCAACTCAAGAATTTTTTTTTTTTTTATTAATTTGAAATTTTATTTTAAATTTAATTTAGCATGATAATGACGTGTTTTTCTATCTAATACACATATGTTCAAAATAAACAGTGATCAAATTCTATTAGTAGAATGTATGGTGTCGCAATACATCATTCAGAAAGTAGATTCAGGAAAAGGTTGCATATTCTATCCAGAATATGAATTCAAAACATTAACTTTCAGTAGAATTTTAAAACTCTTCAGTTTTGTTGATGGTGATGAAATATTTAATTTTATATATGTGTGTACATATATATATGAGATAGACATCTGTATTTATTGTATTTAATATATAGATATATAATTTTATAGAATGACACAGTTGTTTGCATTTAACGAGATGTGAAAGTCATTTAGTTCAGCCTCTTTCCTTAGAGCAGGGCCAACATCTGAGTCAGATAAGGTTGCTCAACACCTTGTCTGGTCAACTTCCAAGTATTTCAAGGATAGAGATTCAACAGTCTCTGCAACCTGTTCCAATGTTTAACCACTCTCATTGTGAACAATTTTTTTTATCATTTTTTTTCCCACTTGGCATTTCTCTCGCTGAAACTTTTGACTTTGCCTGTCAACATTTTATTGACACCCCAAATGAGGTGACAAGCTAGAATCTAACAGCAAATATTATTAGTCAACATATCTTCCAAACAGGTGTTTAGTATGCTGCAACCAAATAAATATTAATACAGGACTGGTATTATCCTGCATATTAAAATGTTGTCTTTCAACTTCTTACAGCATAAACTGTGCGTAAACTTTGCTAGTGCTACAAGATGCAATACTAGTAGAGTATATATTAGAGTGGCAAAAGTGTAATTCTGTGTTCCGTTCTTTTGACTACATCCTTCCATTCTTATCTTTCTTCTGATGTGATTCTCAGTAAGAGGATCTTTACTAGCAAAACCTCATTAAGCTGTGCACTGGTAAATCATAAATTGCTATTGATCTCAGAGTACATGAACTGGAAGTTTCTACTCAGTATTTCCTTACCTTAAATTGTTTGAACTGATTTGGGTTGTTGGGTTTGGTTTTTTTTTTTTCTCTCTATTGAATGCGTTCTAGGCAAATATATATTTGAAATCTATCCATAAAATTTTCAAAGATTTATGTGGGATACTGGACAGTAATGTTGCCCAGTTTTAGAAGGCAGAATGGTAGAATATTGGATTTCTATTACAAAAATCTGCTACTGATTAATTCTATGGTATTGGTGAAATTATTTTTCATATTTATGGAATTAAAAAAGTGATTATAGGAATCTTTTTTTGGGGTTTGCACAGCAAAGTCCTGGCAGCAGAGGGGCTACAGAGGTGGGTTCTCTGAGAATCTGCTGGAAGCTTCCACCATATCCGACTGAGCCAACACCAGTTGGCTCCGAGTTGGACCCACCACTGGCCAAAGCTGAGGTGGTGACAGCTCTGTGATAACATATTTAAGAAGGAAAAAAAAGGTTTTGCACAGAGAAGTAATTGAGGCCATAGAAGAGAGGAGTGAGAATATGTGAGAGCAATAGTTCTGCAGACACCAAGGTCAGTGGAGAATGACAGGGAGGAGGTGCTTCAGGTGCCGGAGCTGAGATCCACCTACTGCCCCTGGAGGACCCCACACTAGAGCAGGTGGATGCCCAAAAGAAGGCTGTGACTTCATGAGAAGCCTGTGCTGGAGTAGGCTCCTGGCAGGATCTGTGGCCTGTGGAGTGAGAAGCCCACACTGGAGCAGGTTTGCTGGCAGGACTTGTGACCCCATGGGGGATTCGCCCTGGTGCAGCCTGTTCCTGAAGAACTGCACTCCATAGAAGGGACCCACACCGGAGCAGTTCATGAACTGTAGCCCATGAGAAGAACTTGAGCTGGAGATGTTCAGGGAGGACTGGCTCATGTGGTAAGGACTCCATGCTGGAGCAAGGGAAGAACTTCTCTCCATCAGGAGGAAGAAGCAACAGAAACAACATGTGATTCCCTGTTCCCCCGCTGTTCTGAGCAGGAAGAGGTAGAGAATTGGGAATACAGCTAAGCCTAGGAAGGAAGGAGGGGTGAGGGGAAAATGTTTTTTAGGATTTAGTTTAGTTCTCGCTATTCTGCTCTGATTTTGATACGTAATAAATTCAACTAATTTTACCAACCTGAGCCCATTTTGCCCATGATGGTAACTGGTGAGTGATCCCTCCCTGTCCTTATCTCAACCCATACACCTTTTGTTATATTTTCTCTCCCCCGTCCTGTTGGTTAGGGGAGTGATAGAGTGGCTTTGGTGAGCGCCTGGCATCCAGCCAGAGGCAAAACATCACAGAACCCATGTAAGTGTTTGTATGAGTACTTGTCTCTTAACTAGTTATTAGTGAATATCAAGACATGTTTAATAATTATGATATAATTATACCTTTTAACAAGGGTCTATTCTAAAAAATATTTTATTATTTAATACTATTCAGATTTGGGGTTTTTTATGTATTGTGTTTGTGTATAAATACATATATCTAGAAAAATGAAAGACAAGGCATATTGAGACATGATTTGCTAATTTGTCATTTATACAGAGTATGACAGGGGAATGGAGTCCAACTGAAGAGGACAGTGAAAACAAACCTCCTCTTAATAATAACATATTGGGTCATGTGCTTCGTAGACTGATGGAGTTGTTCTATCCTCCACAACCCAAACCTTCACCACGTGTACTTACTTCATTTCCTGTCAAGGGATGTATTTTGGGAAAAACTTTTAGTGGAAAAACTACCTGTGCAAAGTTTATTGAAAAAGGTAGAGGTTGTTTGTGGTTTTTTGCCTGAATTTCTTTGAAACTTTTATTTGTATTAAAATCTCACTCTAACAATAAAAATTCTTTGGGCAAATCCTTGAATTACTAATTCTTGAACCTCAGGTACATCTGTATTTTACGTGGGTTGGTTGCATGTCATTCCTTCATTATCTTCCAAAATAAGATTAGAAACACCCAACCCTGAAAGTAGTATTAATATAGTATTACTTCTGCATTGCAAATTTGAAAATGCTTTTGGTAAACTTTGGAGGTATTTGTTTTAGAGGAGACTGGCAAGGTGGCTAGTGATTGTAGATACAGACTGCAGTGGTTAGAGAGAAGAAAGAGTGGAAAGAACGTTTATTATACTATTAATTTAACTGCCTGTAGTAGTTTCTCTGTGCGTAGGCTCAACTTAAACTACAAAGTTATTTAATTTTTTTGTGTATTAGTTTGCAATATTCAGGTACTATCTGTCGATACTCTGGTTTGGGAGGCTATCGAGTCTTTTCTTAAAAATGAAATGAAAAGTGAACATGATATGATTCCACATGAAGAGAGTTCTGGGGAACAAAATAAGGTAAGCACTTTTCTTAGTTATCATTTTGGCTCCAACAGGTAGATGAGAATGAAATATGTAAGGAAGAAAGCATGTTTCAATTTTTGCTCAATTTCAAACTTAATTCTACATTATGACATGTAAGACTTCAAGAGTCAGCTTGAATTGACAGTCTTGTTTTTTTCTGTTATAGAACAGTCAAGAGGGCCTATCCAAGGTTTGTGAACCAATTTTAGTTTCTACTTTGTGAAGCAGCATTAATTAAAATGGTTAAATTAATTAAAAGGTTACACCTTTTCATCATTCTAAATTTTATTACCTCACTGCAAGCATTTTATGTATGAAAAATGAAAATCTATTCCTCTGTATGTTGGTTAGAGAGTTATACATATTGTCGAAGTTCTATATTTTCATGTTAAATCTCAAATTCACAGAAGATATGGTATTTTCTGTGTCATTTCTGAGTTAGCAAAACTGTATTCTTGATTTTACAACTGCCAAGCAGATAATTTATTCAATGACAATGTTTCTTTCCTTTACATTAAAAATGCTTAATTCTACAGCGATTTCTTTGACTTTAGTGCTCTTTGAAAAATACTTCAAAAGCTAAACTATAAAAGAATCTCTGTAGAATTAATGAATTGATATGCTACTGTAGGAAACCATCAGTGGATTTATGGTAGTGAAAATCAATCAAAGTAAGCTTAGAACCAGAACACTTCTTTATTTTTTGGCCTTCATATCCTTTGTTTCTCAACCATGTTTCTTTTGGCATTGTTGCAGATGTAGTGATGGAAATCAGTTGAAGATTTTGATTAAACTATGCACTTTTTACAGTTAGAACTATTCTCCTTAATAGAAAAAGAAACCCTATTAAATATAAATAAAAAAATTAAAAAATAAATAGTATGTAATACAAAAAGTAAAATCATACTCTTTTTGACAATGACTGTTGTGAACACTGAGCATACAGTGCACTCTTCCACAGCTGTCTGTACGTGCCCAGCTTGGCGCCGCATCGCAGAAATGGTTGAAGAAAGGAAAAAGTATTCCCGATGAACTACTAATTGACCTCTTGTTGGAAGCCATTAAGTATGAAATTATATAAACACTTGGTTTTGTCTACTCTTGTTTGACAGAAAATTGTCTCAACTACCCTGATGTGCCTTTACCACTGAAGTTCCTGCATGAATATGATTTAAGTTATACCGCCATTAGTATACTTCAGTTACAGAACAGATTTTACTATTTGTTACCTCAGTACAAAAGTTAGTGAGAAAACAGTGAAATTATACTTCTAAAAAGAGCTCCTATACAGGTTTTGAAAATTCTATTTATCAAGACAGCAAAAATAGTTTTATTTCTGATTTTTTTTTCACTTTTAATTAAACTTAGAGTTATTTTTTCAGATTTACAGTTTAATAATATCTGTCATATTCTGTATTCATCAGTATATTTAATATACTGAATTAATAATGAAAGACTGCTTGAGCAAGCTCTTCTTTAGTTTTTATTATTGTGCTATCAATTCACAGTATAATTCTGGTTCTTCATTTACTTTTAGCCAAATACCACCAGAGAAGGGGTGGATTGTGGAAGGGTTTCCAATGACTATTAATCAGGCAAAGCTATTTGACAAAGCCTATACAGGGAATGATCCAGAGGAAAAAGATGCAATTCCTGGAAGGCTCTCACTTGCTATCGATCCCAGAGCCCGTAACGAGCCTCCTGTTTTCTCACCTGCATTTGATGTTTCTGTATTATTGGATATTTCAGACACTGTGGTACTGAAACGTGCAGCTAACATGAAGTGTAAGTTTCCAACTACTATTACCAAAGTAAAATGATAAGCAGATATCTGTAAGTTGTAGTTACCAATGAAAAATAGCATTACTGCACAATTTCTCTACATCTTGCAGTATCACTTTCATTAATTGTGGCTTGAATTATTATTTCAAATACTTCTATTTGTTTCAGTCAAAGGTGAATCAGAAGTATGCAAGTGGATGTGTATATACTTTTTTGCATTTGTACTGAACTCTCACTGGAGCTGAGATAGTACAGTGGCTGGTGTTAGATATCACATAAAACAGCAACTGGGAGAAACACAAGTTACAACAGATGCAGAAATATCCCTCAATAAAGATAAATGTATAGAAATAGTATTTTTCTTCAGGAGACACATTTGGAAAGGGATGAAGGAAATTATAAACAGAGGGATGTGCCAATATTCATTCTATGAGAATGCCAAAATTAATTCCCTATTGATTACTGCCTTTGTCTTGTCTTCAGTTAGTCAGCGAATGATGAGAAATTGTCATTTTAGGCCAACCAAGACAAAAGCCTCAAAGGCCTCTTGAGAGTTGTTTCACTTTCAGACTACACATTTTAAATTGCCCTAACACACCTTGTCAAAACATAAGTTTTTTTCATTAATATGTCCCATATTATCCAAAATTATAGGAGATTCTTCTTCGTTTTCACTGCAGCACACAGATGGCATATAACTTAAATTAAAGCACAATTTACATTTAACTTCTATGTAGATGTAGGAGTGAGGATGAGACAAAATTTTCAGAGTTCTTGCTAACAACATAGTGAAGATAAATGTATAGATACTTGAAATTCTTCATAAATTTAAGATCTTGTTTTGCCAGAACAATTGGAACACGTGACAATGCATGATGTAATCTCAGAAATACAAACAGAATTTATTTCATGTTATGTAATGTGGTGATACAGTCAAAAGAACAATATATCAGAATTTTTTTAATTTGGCTTATTTCTAATGAATTAAAGGTTTCTTAAAATTAGAAAAGACTCAGAGAGAGACAATACCTTGTCATTTCATGCAGGAATATCTACTCATTGTGGAAAGAAGTAGGTACTTCAAGGAAGATTCAGATAAGACAGGGAAAATACCTTCTAACTGGTAGAGTAGATAAGGCTGAAATAGTCTGCCCACAGGAATGCTCCATCTCTTCAACTGGAGATTTCTGTGACTGCAAAGCATGCATTAGGAAATGTTAGTGCTATAATTGGCTATGCATTTAAAAGGAAGAGGCAAGACAGTGGTTTTAGGTCCTTTACAGTTTGATTTTGTATTTCTATGATGTTCTCTGACTTCTCCTTTCTTTTAGGAAGTTTGATACTCAATTTTTAAATGAAGAAGTATAAGATCAAGGAACACTGAAATTTTTCTTATAATAATTATCTTACTTTGCAGAAATAACTGAATGATTGCCTTTTTTGATATATGCTCATATATGCTCTTTTCCACACAGTAGATAAATCAAAGTCATCTCAAACTGAACAGGAGAACAGTGATCAAAATTCAGATCCTGAAATCCTAGAAGAGAGCATTGACTTGGACAAGGACCAGGTCCTACATAGGTAAGTTATATGAAGTACAAAAAAGTTGCTCCAGTAGATGTTTAGGCATGTAACTAATCTCAATCTCATATGTGATCCATGACAATACTGACATGCTTAATGTAAAGAATTTACTTAGGTGTTTCTCTAATGTGAAGCCTAAAGGATATTTTCATTGTTTGCACAATATAAATAATCCTAGAAAATTAGAATTCATGTGTTTTGATTTTCCAAAGTACTCTTCCAGGTAGAATTTAGTCTTCAGATATATACTGCATAAACTATATGTATACATATTTGTGTCTATATATATCTATATATGGCACGCATGATGTAACTGCCTTTGGGTGAAATACATTTGAGTTAGAGATTTTCTAAAATGCTATTTTCCATTTCTACATTTATAAAAAGCACTTAGTTTTCCAGTTTTAATTAAATCACTAGATTATTAACTTTACACAAAGAGCAAAATCAAGAACAACAAGTCTTGTTTCTAAATATTTGATAATACTAACTACTTCAGACTATTATTTGTTATTGCTGGTTTAGCTGTGATATAGGAAAGTAGGTTTAGCTTGTGAGAAGAAAGAGGAAGAAAGACTAGGTAACAGAAGGATTTTGAAAATTTTCCTGTGTTTAAAATGAAGAGTTTGTTGTGGATGGAGTTGTTTTAGTGTTGAGATGGTCTGGTTTTTCTTTTGTTCACTAATTTTTGAAAATGTTTGATTTTCCACTACTTAGATTTTAATTTCATACATTAATATGATTTTTGTAGAATTTCAGGCTTTCTAGACACATGGCCAAAATTGGAGAAGTGGTTTTCAGTCCATCAAAATATTCTAGTGAGTGTAAATGCAGAGACAGAAGAAAGTCATGTGTGTGAAACAGTGAAGGAAATTATAATAGAGGAAATTGCGAAAAACCAGAATAGAAGTAAGTTTTTGTGTTCTTACTTTCTAGACATCAATAACAAAAGACTTTCTTCTCTATAATTAGTAATTACTGTATAACACTATATGGCAACCTGCATTTTTGCTGCCCCTGGAAGACTTTGGAGTTGTGTGAGTTAGTGATACCTGAACCAGAACCCTTAACTTTTCTGTTGTGTTTTTACCTTTCCAGAGGATATGGACCAATTTCACATAAAATTTAAATTAAAGCATTAAATTCAGTCTTTCTTCATGGATTAAAAATTACAGATAGCATTTTCATCCTATGAAAATGATACAATGGTATATAGCATAATGGTATAAGAAAATCTAACTTGCCATTATCAAAATGTATTCATTTAGCAGCAGCAGCAGCATAAAAATATGGATAACTAGGAGTGGTTTTGATATGAATTTTGGTACATCTTTATTCCGTTTCTCTTCTTAATCAAGCAGAAAATAATAAAAAAAGGAAGAAAAGGTGAAGTATCCAGGGAAACAAATACATCAAGTAGACCAGTATTAGTAGACCTGTGAATAATCAGAGGTTTTTTTCATAACTATTATGAGAAAGTCTTGATGTGTCTTCTACCACCAAAAGGAAAAAAAAAGAATTAACTGGAAAAGTACTCTTTACAGTAAAATTTTATCCCACTACTCATGCATAAGGTCTCTAGTTCATGAAAAATTCTTGGAAATACCACAGCTGACAGAAAATTGGATGGAGTGTTTTCAAAAAGCTACCTAGTTGGAATTGTGTTTTTTTTACGTGCTTGGTATAATTAATAGCCCTGCTGGAGTGGGTGGCAAAATTCCTATTGATGCAAATGGAGTGGAGATTTTCTAGTTAGAATCCAGCTATTGTATAGAAGTACTGTAAAGGACTATTTATTCCCTATGGAAAAATAATCCCTGTGGCCAATTAATAATGTTTACTTTCATATTTATGTTGATAGCTTCCAAGCTGTCCTTCACTATTAGGTTCATATAAGCAGGTTGGTGGAATATGACTTACCTTTAGTGACTCCATGCTGACTACTCCTGATCACCTTCTTGTCCTCTGTGTGAGTAGAGATGGCCTCCAGATGAGGTGCTCCATCACCTTTCCAGGGTTTGAGGTGAGGCTGACTGACTGGTAGTTCCCTGTGTCCTTCTTGCCCCTTTTGAAGACCAGGGTGACATTTGCTTTCTCCCAGTCCTCAGTCATCTCTCCTGATCTCCATGACCTTTCAAAGGTGATCATGAGCAGCCTGGCTATGATGTCTGCCAGCTCTCTCAGCACTCATGGAGCATTCTGCCAGGGCCTGTGGACTTGTGGCTGTCAAGTTTGTTTTAGCTGTTCTCTGACCCAATCCTCCTTGAGCACTGCTGATTTCATGAGTATATTTTCTGATTAACAACATCTAAGTAGTGAAATAGTGAATCTGTTCCATTATTTTGAACTTGTCAGAGTAGCATAGATGTCTAATTCTGTTTATTGATACTTAAAATACGTTTGAAGGTACTAATTGTACATTTATATCAAGGGTCTACTCAAGAAATAGCACCAGCAGAAGAAAAGCCTTTACCAGATACAGAAGAAAAGCCTTTACCAGATACAGATGTAAAGCCTTTACCAGATACAGAAGAAAAGCCTTTACCAGATACAGAAGAAAAGCCTTTACCAGATACAGAAGAAAAGCCTTTACCAGTTACAGAAGAAAAACCTTTACCAGTTACAGATGATCTACTTCCTCCCTCTCCTGGGACACCACCACCACCAATAGAACCAGGATCGGATGAATGGATTTATGTAGATGAACCACTTCCCCAGGTATGTTAATTCAGGATTAAACATCTTAAATATCAAAGTACATATTTTTCTTAGTATTCTATGTATGTTCTACTTAAACTTTTTACATCAGTGCATGTTATTTTCTTCAATATTTTTCAATGTACGTTAAGCTAGTACTGTGTGATAAATAATATACAAACAATCATTCCTACTAAAATACATAAAATAAGGGAACATACTTTAAAATTTTGATTTTTCTTTCTAAGTTCTTTTGAATTATTATTAAGAACACAGATGCCTGTGTTCTTAATAATAATCCATTTTACTGTTGTGATATATTGATACAGACTCACTAGATCAGTTTTCTGTCTCTGACAAGGGGCAACTGTGGATCTCATGCAAAGAGTAAGAATGGGGAGTGTGTGCACTAATCTTTCTCCTAGGATAATTTTTTCCTTACCTGTTTTCTCCAAAGGCATCTTTCTAGATTCCAGTGATCTGTTTAGAGCTTTCCTGAAGTTGCTTTGTATCTGCATCTTATGTTTAGTAGCTTTCAATAAACTTCTTTTTAATGATTCTGTGTTTTAGCTGCTTTAGTTGCTTTTTTGAATCAATTTGCTTTTTGTTCTCCATGGAATAGGCTGTATAATTATGTTAATTCTGAAAAAAAGTTTCTCTCTCTTTGTTCTAAACCATTCTTTGCTTGAACTTGATGACCCTAATTCATGAATTGTGAGATACAATGAATAATAATTTTATAATCACTCTCTGAAGGTATTTAAGATGTGTCACTGGCATCTCTTATATGTTCATTTTGCTCAATGCTGCTTTTCTTCTCCAGCCCAGTTATAATCTAGTCTAGTTCTCTTGTAAGTCTTTGGAGAGGGGAAGCTGGGACTGCATGCAGTTTTTCAGATGTAGATTTCGAGGGTGGACAATGAAACTTGAAATTTTGTTACTAATTCCTTTCTTAATATTTACCAGTTTTTCCTTCATGACTGCTTATGCTTGGTTTCCTCTGGCCATGGGCTTTATTTATATTTCACGACAGCCAGTCAGTGAAACGTCACTTTTGTAACACTGGACGGTCAGCTTAGATCTTTACAAGCTCAAACAGAAATGACCAAATTTTCATACTTCAGTATTCACTCAGTATCATCACTTAGTTTATGAGCATATCCAAAACTATAGATACTGGAGTATTCTGCTAGAACCTACAACTCCTTTTGAGACCTGCCACTTTTTTCAAAGAAATGCACAGGATAAAACTATATGTTGTTACAATGTCTATGATCAGTTGTTAATCAAAAGAAATATATAGTGAAAAAAAAAAGTAATATGATTTAACGAAATAATTTTTTCATGTATTTACTAATGCTACAGATGAATGAGCTACCAAGAAATATATCATTTAATGTTGATGTTTTTTAAAAAATTCACAGGAGATAATTGATTTTTTAGTACCTTACTGGGAAATGATAGAAAATGCATATATAAATACCATCAAAACTGTACTTAGATGCCTAAGGGATGAACAATACGCGATGATTCATTACATAGCAGATATTAGGTGAGTAGAAATAGTATCTTATTACCTTAATATTAGTGTATTTTATTTTTCATATGGCATTCTATATGTCATTTAACACCAAAATTATTTTACCATAATTTACAGAGAAAATTTCCAAGATTATTTGAAACGTCCACATCTTAAGCAGGAGTTTGTATCTCAGTGGCAAACAGATTTTAATTCAATTTCTGATGAGTTGCGAGATGATGAGGAAACAAAAGCTGAACTACACCAAAGAGTTACTGTAAGTAAATGGCAGAAGTTACAATATATCATAGACTATTATTCATTGTATACAAGCTTGATATGACATGACCGATATTATTTACTTCTTTTTCCTTCTTTACAACTCCTCTTAAACTATTTAATTTACTCTTGTGCATAAAGTGTTCTTCACAGTTATTTCTCTGTTGTTTGGCCATAATATTCTTAAATCTTGCTTTAATTTTTAGGTTACACTGTGGTATCCTGGTACACTGCTCTTTTTTTCTTTAAATTTTATGGTTTTCAGAGATTTTACAAGTTTAGCCATTTCTATCACAATCTAACAAATCTTGGCAAGATTTTAGTTTTTCCATAAGTTGTATATGGTAATATATGTTTTCTAAAACATTCATACAAAGTACAGAGAATTTCTTTGAAATGTTTTGATTCAGATAGATCTTTGCTAGGTCATACATGTCCTGAGTGTTCTTCTTCACAAAAATCCGTGACATTTAAAGTTCTGACAAGTTCATAGCCAGATTTAACGTAAGCCAAAAGTACAATATCTTTGATTTTATCAGATTCCCATTTCAGAATAGACATGATTTTTAGTTGAGTCGTATCAGGAAAAATGCTCCCAAAAAAGGGGAAAAAGAATACTGACAATGTTGCTAGTAAAAGGCAACATTTGTGGAATCGTGGAAAAATTCACTGAGATGGAAAAAGCACTAGATGGATCTTCTTTTCTGTAGAATTATTTCAATAGAATGTATTAGAGGACTTAAAAATCATCATCCATAGTCCTAATTTCTACTAAATGGAATTACAAAAAGACTGGAATCGCTCTGTGCTATATTTTAGAAAGGTAAAATTAAAATATTTGGACTGTTGTATATAACAGAAATCCATGTTTGACATTGTCCAGTTCAGATTCTGTTAAGAGGAGGTGGTACTCCCATATGATGCAGTGAGACTCAGATACTGTGATAAGGCTAAACATTTTGGAGTGAATAAATGATTTTCAGAATTTTTTTCTTTGAATGACCCATTCTATTCCTTGTAGATCCCAAACCTTTGGGTGATTGTGAAGATGATACCTCCTCTATGCTTTTAGGCCATGCCCATTGTACCTCCCTGCCTGTAAGAATTCTGTCAGCCATCCTTCCTTGATGCTAGAAAAAAAGAGGAAATGAAAGCAGTGATAATCTTCAGAATGTTTTTCCTCAAACTCCTAGACTGCTCAGCTCTGTCATCTCAGCTGATCCTCTCCTAAAACACTGGAAAGGGCCAGCTGTAAAACCTGAAAACAAAATTTCTCTGATATCGACTGGAAAATATAAAATCCCACCCCATCTTGTGATGTATGAGAACTTTCTTAAAGGCCTAAAGCCCAAAGGCCAGCCAAGACTTCCTTTGACATGCTGTTGTGGTTTAACCCCAGCCAGCATCTAAGCCCCATGCAGCCACTCCCTCCCTCCCCCACCAGTGGGACTGGGGAGAGAATCATAAAAGCTAGAAAACTTGTGGGCTGAGATAAAGAGAGTTTAACAGGTAAAGCAAAAATCAAGCACCAAGCAAAGGAAAACAAGGAATTCATTCACCACTCCAGTCCATGGGCGTGCAGAGACCCCACATCAGAGCAGGCTCCTGGCAGGAACTGTGGCCTGTATGGAAGAGCCCAGGCAGGAGCAGATGTTGTGGCAGGGCATAGAGTCCTTGAGTACCTTCTAGCCATCACTAATGTGTTTGGGCTTCCTATTTGTCAGCTTCCCTGTGGCTTTTGTTCAACAGAGGACGAGTGATTTTGTCTGAAGTCTTTGGACAGGGAGAGAGAAACAGGATTTGACATAATAGTCTGAGACCAAGACCTGGTGAATATGGAATCACCTCAACTGAAGCTAAGCTCCTCATGGCAGGGCTAGTAGTCTGGAACACCTAACACCTTTTTTATCCCAGAACAGGTCAGGTGAGGCGGAACTGCTTGGAGCCCAACAGACAGGTCATCTGGTCCTACCTTAGCACTGCATTTAACAGATCTCTTCCTATGACCTCTTACAACATAGTGGTTTGTTCATGCTATTTCCGTGCAGAGATGGTAATAGGGAACAATGGATTTGCAAGGATGTTTGATGCTTAGTAGGTCTTCAGTGCTGTCAGTGAGCCACATAGTTCTGCTATTAGATATAGACATTAGTTGAAGAGCCCTTGATTAAAAGAATGTTAGAGAAAAATGGCACGGAGGTAATCCAAATTGGAACACCTCTTGAAATCTGGCATGATTTTCTTAGAATTTCCATATTGCACATCCCTTTAGAGTATTATTCTTAGTGTATTGGTTAGCAAACCATCCAACTGCAAAGTTGGTGCAGTTGGGAGCTTAGCTATTCATAGTCTCGTGTTTGTCTAGCTTAGATAGATTATCTCTACCTGAGAAAAAGCAAGGCAGCCTGCACATTGAACTCAGGTCTTTGTATTCTTCTGTGGTACATTTGTAAAGCCACTTTCTGTCAGCTCTCTATAAGCATGTCACTTGACCAGGCTTTGATATTTATGGCAATAAAGAAAAACCCCAAATGAGACAATGCTCTATACACAGCCCCCCCCCCCAAATTAATAATAAATATATAAAATAAAGTTATTTAAGTTTTCTCTCATAGTTAGTTATCATATTTGATTTTGTGTTTTAGGACCTAAGAGATCTTCTCTGGGATATCTGTGACAGCAGAAGGGAAGAAGCAGAGCAGGAACGTGTTGATATCATGAATAAAGGCTGGCTGCCAGATCACAGGGGAATTGCAATGAACCATTTCTTTTCACTTATGCAGGTATGGACCACTACAGAGTCTGCAATGGAAGGGGACAATGACTTCGATTTGGAGGACAGTAAGCCTGAGAGAAATGTGTGAGAGACTGAGAATTAATTAAGCAAATCTTCATGTCTCTTCTGAATTTATCTGGGAAGCTGAGAGACAAAAAGGTGACATTCCATACAGGCAGGAAAGGTTAAGAAAAATACCATTGTTGTTGTCCAACCCCCCCGAACTTTCAATCTCTGTTATACAGTGCTACTTTTTGCTATTTTATCACTCCAGTGAATCATCTGATTTTTTTAACAGAAATGTTACAGATGTTTATCCTTCTGTAATCATATTGACATCTCCATTTAATTTGTGAAGTACATAATTCACCTCTGTTGTTGACTTACTTGATGTTACAGTATTTCCTGTATCTCAAAATTATTTCAGTTGTAACTTCACCAATGTGGCTTGAAATTTTACCTACACACTGAAAAAAAACCCAAAAAGCAAGGTATGTTTTTGATATTGAGATGTCATTTGTTGCTCTTGAGAAAACCCATTCAAATATGACCCAGCTTTCAGATATCTAACCTTAAATTTTTCAAGAGCAGTAAAGTAAGATTTCCCTGTTACTTCTGTTCTAGGTGCATAAATTTGGTTTAGAACTGGACTGGAATAGACTAGACTAGACAGGCTTTTCTGTAAACTGAAGTGAAAATTCTGTGAAAGTTTTGGCACTTTAAAGAAGACAATAAAAACAATGCTTTAAACACATACCTTGTGATGATGATTTAGCTGAAAAAAGCAGACCTAAGCAGTTTAGGGTGGGTTTCGTGCCTTTAATTCTCTGTGTGATTTTTATATGTTTAATAAACAAGGGAGCCACTCTCTTATCTCGTGTGAGTGTTATGGTAATTTAAATATGAAGTTTGTGAAACAATCTGTTGCTGCAGTAAGTAAATTGTTAACTTCATTTTCAAAGAGTCTAAGTAATGCCCTAAAGAAAGACTTAAGACCACTGACTAAAGAGAGAGGTTGAAATATCAAATAACTCCTGACTAGCTGAACCACATTCATCCTGTAATTAGAGTATTTATAGGCCTGACTATTTAAAAAATCCATCTTGAATTATATGCATAAAGCAGACAAATTAAAGTAATGTTACAGACCTTAAATATTTTATTATTCTCCTTTTATAATAATATATAACTTTGCAATCCTGATTCTAACAGAATTTCATTGACAGATATGATGCAGTCCAGTGGATATTCACTGTGAATCTAATTTGATCTGTCTTGTGTGTATATGCAGAGTAACTCTTTAAAATTACAAACACATGTATTATCCATAGATAAGCTTTTATTTTCATAAAGAAAAATTTAAAGGAAAACATTATTTCTTTCTTTACTCTAGTATGTACTTCCCAAAATAACTGAATTATTAATCCTAAACTGCAGAACTAAAAATATAATAACTGTAACTTTATGTAATGACTTTTTTTTTTTTTAGAAACAGCCAGAAACAGGCTTCTTTGATATTGAGCTCTCCATCTGTGGGTTTTTCTGTTGAAAGTTACATATGTTCCCCAGGTGGCTCTGTAACTGCATGAACATATAGATTTGTATAAATGCCATTTATCAGATTTCATTCCATCTTTCTGTGTACACACAGTTATAATAGAAGATATTTCCTCCTTAACTTATGGATGAGTACTGGTTTACACCACAAAGGTTTTATCCTTTGTTTTGTGAATGTGGTTTTGTGCATTTTCCCATGAATATTTAGTGCTGTTTTGTCAGTTAGAGACTAACACCATACTGTATCAATAAATCAAAACATGACAGGTGTTAAATGTTTCTTGAATCTTACTTGATTTCTTCTGAGATGATTCACACAAAAAGATCTTCAAGACACTTAGGTGTGTAAAGTGTGTTGATTTCTTTGATCCAGAAAACTGTATGACTTGTAAAATTTTCTCCATCCATAGCCCTTTTTATTTTATGGTATTAAGGATTTTATTTCCTTTGAAGAAGAAGATCCATGTAATATGCTGGCATACTTGCTACTATAGAAATATATATACATCAAAATATATTGTGATTAAATGTAATACACATTAGGCTCATGGTGTGACTCTTTGGGGTGGTCCTGTGCAGGGCTATGAGCTGGACTTGATGATCCTTGTGGGCCCCTTCCAATTCGGCGTATTCTGTGATTCTGTGATTATTTATTGTAGAGGATTTTTCCTATTTTTGCTATTTTAACAACCAAGATTCTTATTACTCCTTAGAAATAGCAGTGTGAATACAGTATAGGTGCAAGTAGTATACATTGAGTACGCTATAAATGGTTATGCTTCTTTCTGTCCTTCAAACTCTTAGGATTTAGAATTGTTTCTGCTAACATGTATTTAAAAAAGTAACAGAACTTTGTTCTGTCCTATTTTGAATTACAATTCTTCTGTCTTTTCTTCTTGAGGTTGAAATGGATCGTTTCCAAGATACAAAGAGAATTCTTCATGACTACTATAGGTCAATGGAAGGAAAAATCCCAACAGAAGACAGGAAAGATTTTACTAGAATCCCACTGTTAGATATTTTTGATGTAAAGCAGAAGGAAGATGTAGATAAGGAAGATGTAGATAAGAAAGATGTAGAGCAGAAGGAAGCTGAAGAGCAGAAGGAAGCTGAAGACAAATCAAAAAGGTAGAAATGCATTATTAAATTATACAAATATGAATGAATACAATGCACTGATAACTTTGTGGGTGTATGTGAAAGTATATGTGTGTATACTTAGAAGGATAGGGAAACAAGAATTTTTAGCCTGGGATTATACTTAAATGATGGATCTTATATTATCTTATAGGTTACATGTACCCCTGATTTTTTTACTGATTTACCTGTATCACTTTCACTAATGCATCCCTGAACTGTAAAATGTAAAGGCTGCCTTAGGACTGAATCTACTGTAGAAATGTTTCCTATGTCCCTTTGTGTTGCTGATCATTTCCAGCACAATCCTCACATAAATAAGTTAAAATATTATTGTGGAACATTAGCAGGTTTAAAATTTGCACCAATTAACATAATTAAATGGGTTGTGTAATGACAAATGTAAATCAAAGCAATCTACAAAGATGCACAGAACTGAATGCCATATTAAAAGGGAAGGGATACCATCAGATAATTTCACAATATAAAAAATGCCATCAGTATTGACACCTGCTTTTTAACTTACTTGCAGTGCATTTAGAAAATGTCTTAGTAGTAAAACTCTGCTTCTAACTCATGTGGAATTCATCAGCAAATCACACAGTTATTTACTGTAGTTTTATCCATCTGTTCATATTCTTTAGATGTTAATTGTTAAACTGGACAGTTTTCTTCTCATACACACTCTTCTTCACTTTTGGTCATTTTCTATTGCTATTGGAAATTTTGAAAATAGCATTCTAATTTTTTTGGTATATTCTCTGATATAGTTGCTAACACTTTTTGCAAAGAGATGTATCAATTATTGCTTATATTTTATTTTTGAGGATTCCTCTGGTTTCTCGGAAACTGTTTTCACCAGAAATTAATGCTGAGACAGAAAACAAGAGAACTCTGCAGGCAAGTCCTGACGTTGAGAATTCTGAAAATAGACTGGCTGCTTGCAGGAATGATGAAAGGCTTATTATTTATACATGGCAAAAAGCAGTAACAGCAGTATCAAATATGGTAAGGAATATTTTATTTACTTAACCACTTCTGGATCATACATTCAAAGCCTCCCATTCAGCAGGCAGCCTAAACACATCATCTTTGCACTGTGTATCTCAATTTCATGCCTCTTGCTCTACTGCTGATATTTCCATTGAACATTTTTGTAGTTCTATGAGGAAAGTGTTGGAATCTGTGTGTTATCAGCATCTCTGTATTTATAACTGACCCTTTTACTCCATTACTGAGAGAAATACTTTGAATGTTGCCTCTGTATATCTACTTCTTCCATGATAAACTCTCCTCTTCCCCCTCTGTAGAAGTGTGAGAAGATGGAGAATTTTAGTCCTGTGATGCAGTGTTTGCTCAAAACTTTCACAGCTTGAAAAGCTATAGTTACAATCTTTTTTCTCTATAGCTAAAAGTAAATTAGGTGAGCTTTTAAAATGGTTGGTTTCTAGGTTTAATTTTTCTTTTCTCTGTGATCATTTAAAAATAAATGAATTTCTGCACCCTTGCCACATAACTTTTAGTCTTGCTTCCTACACTGTTGATTCTTGCATTTCTCACATTTTCCTTGAGCACAGGGAATGATTACAGAATTAAACCCACTCTGTCTCTGTCTTGCATTTTTGATGTACAATTATATTTTTGGTAAATAATCAAAGTTTAATCAATTAGTTAAAGTATATCCTTTATTTATGTGTCTACTTATCATTAAGTACTTTCAACAAATATAGGCAATTTGAAACAGTAATTGCACAGACTTCATGCTATGTACTGTACTGTGTGTGACTATGGTGTCAAGGTAACAGCTGAAATAGAGTTTAGAGAAATGGAGGAAGAAGAACAGCAGCAGCAAAAACTGAAAGAAGATCCGAAACGCTCAGGCAAAGCTGCTGGGAAAGATGTCAGAAAGCCTTCTACCAAATCACTTTCTAAGAAGAAAGGTATTTAAAATACAAGCTTTGTTTCAGCAGTGCTTGAAATTACTGAAATGTAAATATGTAATACAGAAATGAATAAGCCAAGATATTTAATTTGTATTTACTTTCTCTTTTAAAATGCAAAGTGTAACATGTCAGTATAAAAAGCTGGTAGTGATAAAAAAGGGCAGAGGTTTTTGAATGGCAATTGCATTTATTTAAACATATATGTTGTCTCTATATGTAGGAATAAAGATTCTAAATAGCACATAAATATTTTTTCTCCATGTTCCATACTGGAATGGAATGGAATAGTTAGAACTAGTTTATCAAATTAAATAAAATTCTATTAAATTCTACCTATTTACCAGCTATAAGTAAAAATATTTCAAATATTAATATTAAGGAAATTTCCCTGTCTGACCATCCAGGAACCACTCTGGCAGTCACACTCTGCACCACTTGAGCTGGGACTGAGGTCTCTTCATAGCAGGGAACTCCAGTGAATGGACAGGTCCCCAGTTGATTCCTTACACAGCCCACACTTGCACAATCAGTCCAGGTTTCCTTTCAGGCTCCATTCCAGTTTTCCCACGGCAGAGTCTCAGACATCTGGATCCTTAAAATAATTTAATTATGGTGCAACAACAGGATAAGAGCTTGAACTGGTGCCTTCAAGGAGGGACCCTGAACAAAGGAAACCCTGGGCTCTTATGCTCTCACAGTCTAAGTGCATGAAAGTTTGGGGTCATTGTCTCCTGCTGTGACTCTGGGTGTCCAGTCCCCTGGCAGGGCCCCGGGCCCTTTGTTCTGCAAAGGGTTGGTGCCAATTCACAACCTCTTGTCTCAGGCTCCCACCACCCAGAACTCAGCCTGCAGCTCCCAAAGCTAGCTGCACTGACTGCATTCCTCAACAATTAAAATAATAGGACTGGAATGGAATGAGTAAATTATCCAGTATCTTAAAATATACTGAAATTAATTTAGTAGCCATATGGTAGCATGGATCAATCAATATCCATAATTTTTATGTGTAACTGCAATGTGGTGTAAATAAAGAACACAGAATCTAATATCATCTATAGTCTCAAAAAAAAGCAACTCCTATTGAGGGAGATCTCGAATGTAGGCCTGGTAAGAAACTGTCCTAATTTATTTGCAAAAGGGGAACAGGCAGTCTGCTGGAAGGGATTGTGGTGTACAAGGCTGTTTATACATTTTGTCGTAACTACTTCCTTGTGCAGGTAGTGGTTTATGTAACTTCCACTTTTTTTTTCCTGCAAAATGTCCTAACTTCAGCAGGAAGCAAGGCTAGTAGCCTGAATCTTTTATCTTTTGTGTAGACATTCTACATGTCAAGAGAGGGGCTCATGCCCTGCGATGTGAGGGTAACCTGAAATTCAGGTACTCCATTTCCAAGTGAGAAAGCTGTAACTGCAGAGTTATTGTGCATAAAGCAGATGACTTTTTTCTTTTATGGACATTTAATTTGCACTCTGCTCAGTTCTCTCCCTCTGGTTGATTCGGCCCTTAGTAGGTCGAATAAGCATAGCCTTGCAAATACTTAGCCAATTGTGAGCCCCAGAGAGCCAGAGGCTTAGTTTAGCATTTAGTCCAGCCAAGAGAGTAGCAGATTTTCAGACTTCTAGAAAAGTTTTGTGAGAAAAAAATCAGCAGTCGTCACTTGCTGTATGCTAAGTGGCTAGGTCGGAGTTTGTGGATTGCTTCTTGGAACTAAGTTTTTGTTCCTACCTGGTACCAGACAACTTACCTGAAATCACAAAACCATAAAGTGATAGAACTGCAACAAGAACTCAGCTGTGCATTCCTCCTGGTAGAAGAGGAAGTGTCAACTGATGATTTGTAACTGAAGTATCAACTTTGATTTAATGTCAAACACAACGTTACTGTAGTGTTCCTGTGACTCAAGAATTCCCTGGGAAAGAGCTGTGCGCTAGTAACTGAGTGATACAATTTAGCACATGCAGTTTTGTCATTTCTCGATTTGACCATTTGCTTTATGTTGACCTTATGTATCATGCAGATGTCATTTTTTTTTCTGTAACATCCCCATCTGCTCTTCTTCTAGGATAAAGCAATTACAAACATTTTAATATTTTTGAGTAATAGCCAAAGTGACATGGCTACAGAATCTCTAAAAACATTATAAAATACCTTTACAGTATCTGTTCATAGATAAACAAGTTAAAACAAGCTGGTAATGCAGATTACAGAATGGTTTGGAAAGGCATAAAGAAACAAGTGTTATTCAAAAGATGTTTATTTATGTGCTGGTTGTGATAAATTGGTAGATATTAGGGTCAAACAGGATATTCTGACCACCTAGGGTCAAAACAGAGGCGCACCTACTCAGTCATGATTTTTCCATTCAAAAATACGTTTTAGGATGTCCTTTGAGCAATTTTAATACAGTTGTATATGCTGGGGTATGTTTATGGAGTGTTAATCTTAGCATGACTTGCAGATGTAAATCACATTTGATAGCCGAGCACCCATCTGCATGTTCTCATAATGGTCACATCAAGTAAGGTAGAAAGTGTAATTTTTCTTTAAAAAAATATGCTAATAAGTGCCTGTGTATTGATACACAAATTTACTAGCAAAGTCCAAAGACTGAAAGATCTGTTTTCCTGCAGGATCACAGAAGAAAGTCAGTGTAATTCCTTTAGACCCAGAAGAATTAAAGAAACAAGAACTGGCACTTAAAATAAAACAAGAACATCTGAGTGCCTTGAAACATGAGGGTATGTTACTATTTGGTTATTTATATTGGGAGGTGATTGTTATTCCTAATTTAGGTAGTGTAATAGTCAAAACTAGCCAGAAACACTAGAGAAAATGGATGGATAAGAAGGAAAAAAGGAAGGAAGAGAGTAGTGTTTGGAGAAATCAGGATTTTTTTAGGGTGGTAATTGCCAGTGCTTTTGTGATAACTATATTAAAAGTAGAAATGTGATTTTCATTCTTTTTGTTCTCTGTTTCTTTTCATCTAATTTAATTTGGCATGACTAAGCAAATATTTGCCATGAGAGTAAAGGCTTAGCATTGGTGGCTAGCCACTTTTCAGTATTCAATTGAATTGAGTTCAGTATTTGAAATATTTTGATATGGGAAAGAATTTTTTGGCAGTTGTGTACTTCCTTGATATTCTTCTCTGATTCCCTCTTCTTCAAGCCACATGGGATTCAAGGGGCAGGATACAGATTTTCTTTATTCTTCCAAGCTCCTTTACAGACAGACTCTTCAAAAACTACATATTTTTTCAGTTATTCTGTCTCTTTGTCTGTCTTATCCAATAACTTCCAAGCCAATTCAGCCAAAAGTAGATGTCTGAAAAAAAGAAGTCCTAGATTGAAAGAGGTTTGAAAATTTTTTTGGAGATGGGTTTAAACTAAAAGAAAAATACCTCTTTATCACTAAAGGGAAGATAGAGCATAGCTGTTACAGATTCTATCTGGCAGCAGTTGGCAAACCCATCACCATACATGTTACCTCTTTGATGGGCTAACTATTGCATAGTATTTTATTATGAAAGTTAGAGGGTGAACAGCAGTTAATGAACAAAACACAAATTCATAAGGCTTCTTCAGGTCCAATCAGATCAAGTGCTTGTACACTTACCACTTTCAACATGTTTTAATACAAAAGCAGTCTAAGAATAAATATTCCAAGGTTTTGGAGTAGCGAGGAGAAGAATAGTAATAACTTTGAAGATCCTAGTAGCATGCACATGAATGTTATTCATTAACGTGTTTTGTTTTCTTTGCATTGCTTTATTTTTATCCTACATTTGAAAAAAAAAATTCTATCTTGTATTGGCCTTTTTAGCCACCAACATGCTTGCAACAAACGTGGGTAGAGCCCTTCCTAAATCTTTGTTCACGAAGCCCAGCCATGATTTGAAAAAATCCAAGAACCTAAGGAACGCTAAACACGTTGAGCTGTATTTTCTATTTGCACAGGCATGTAGTTGGTGTTTGAGAATCATAGTTTCACTTGCAGCTTTGGGAACTTGTTCTTTTGCTTATACAGCTACACTGAGTCTAGCAAAGTCATTAGTTGTGGATAGTTGCTAAGTTTTTAATGTTGATTTCATGTATCATTTCTCTGTTGCATCAAAGTACCTTGCCTTTTACTCTGTTACTGTTAAGAGAGCAGCTTTGTTGGTGAACTGTGCAGTGCCTACTGCTAAACAAAAATCTGTAACTACTGATAGCAGCTTCACAAAGAATGTGCAGAGAAGTCACAATTAAGGCAACCTTAAACTGTACTATAGAAAGGTGACTACACAGGCACAAAGTATCCTCTAAGGTACTTTCAACTTAGAACCTTTACTTTTTCCTGTCAATTAAAAAACCCTTTGTGAGACGCAAATGTTTAAAATGTTGAACATCAACTCTTTATTACTCAAAACAGAAATTGTGCAGAGTTGCATTATGCTGTGACTGCAATATCACATTTAAAGAACAATGCCTTATTTTTTGTTTTTTTGCAGTCCATCTTTTTACATTGGTTGCCTAAAGAAGGTTTCATCCCCAAACCTAAGTATTTTTAAAAATTAATAGATTGTGCAATAAATATAGTTATATAAATAATGTGACAGTCTTTAACTTTGAAGTCACTGTACCAATTACTATAAAATATTATTTATTTAAAAGATTCTGTCATACAGAGGGTTAAATATGAAGAAAAACCAAGTTGAATACAGAATTTGCCTTAAGGATTGAAAATAATCACTATCTACTGGTCTTCTTTCGTTAGTCTTTTTTTTTAAGGCTTTTTACCAGTTCCATGTATCTCTCAATATATTGCCTTAGCTGTCTTTTCATGCAGTTGGCATCCTGTTCTTAAAATCATACAATGTCATGTTTTGTTGGAAGAGACCCTTAAAGCTCACCTAGTCCACCTCCATGTCAAAGGCAGGGACACATGTAACTAGATCAGGTTGCTCAGAGCCCTGCCCAGCCTGTCCTTGAATGTTTTAAGGGATGGGGCACCTCCCTGAGCAACATCTTCAAGTGTTTTACAGTAACCAGTTCTCTCACACTAAATTTTATTTCTATTCTGAATCTACCCTCTTCTACCTTAAAATCATCACCACTTGTCTGTTCTCTCAGGCTCTACTATAAAGTCTGTCTCTGTCTTTCTAATAAGGCCCCTCTAGGTACTGGAAGGTCCTATAAGGTGCCAGAGGAGCCAGCAGACCATATTAAACTATATTATCATTAAATTCTCAATGTTTTTAAAATTTTCATGTAGATATTCTATGCATAATTTTGGTAGAGCTGAATTATTTTCTTAGTGCTCACTAATCAACCTCTTTTCTAATGCAACCTGAGTTTGAAGGTGTAAAATGGATATGTAGGAAGCATGGGGCAGAACAAGTGAGGTTAATTTTAAAGGGTTGGAGGTTGGTTAGAAATAGAAAAGCAAACTTTTCTTGTGATTAACATATGTAATGATTTAGGTGTGTTCTCTGTAACATTTTTTCATAACAGAGTACTCACACTTGTATCATTAAGATTTTAGGTCTGTTGCTGTATTAATTTTGTTCAATGTCACTGCTTACTTTAACATTCCCTGCACCACTGTGTTAGTTTTATTAAGCTATTTCTTGCCTTGTGAATTCTGATGCTTATAGAATACACACTTTTGTAAAATACAGGATGCAATAGAGATGATTCTGAGAAAATAACTTGTTCAAGAATATGAGAAATTAAGTAAGTGTTTTACTGCCTAAAAACAGGCAATCACGCTAAATTTTAGGTGCTTAAGACTGAGAACTTCCTAAAATTTTATAAATATTACTCATTATGACATTACCATTTAAACAGAGGCAGCCACAAAATCTCGACTAGAACTTATAAAAGAAAAAGCTTTAGCATTTCTTGAAGACCTAAAAATGAAAGCAGAAGAGGCTTACAGAGATATGGAAAAGTGGCTTGGATCCACCTTCCTGGCAGAAATGGCCAGGTAATGTATACCAATTTTAAACAATTTTATTTTTTTTTTACCTAGACTATAGTAGTAAATATGGTAGTTTATATAAGGAGAATTAATTTGGGAAAAAAATTTAAAATAATAATTTTATTTCATGAACTGAAATTTCATTTTATCTTCAATACCTGAGTGGTAATAACTGATTTCCTAGAAGGTTCTGCTGATAACTGTAAAGGTAATTATCAGTTTTGCTATTTTTCTGTTATATATTTCTAGTCTGTTTATTGGATTGCAGCTTTGGCAGATTTACAAGCAGACAACCAGTTATTCCATTTAGTAGAAGGCTCTGTATAATTTCCATAGCTTCTGTCACTTTGGAATGTGAGATCATTCTGTTTCCTGTGCTTTACACATGTTGGAAAATTCCACCTACCGTTATTACCACTTTCTGTAACATTTCTCAAAATTATTTCAAGGACCATTAAAAAAAGTTCTCCTTTGCAAATTTTCTGTCCGAGTAACTGAAATGTACTTTGGACACTGTATGACACAGACCATCTGGCATAGAATGACCTATGTTCATATCATTAAAGAGCTTTTACTCTCCAAAGAAAAGAGGTCACTTTGCCCTTTGTAAAATGTTTCTCCCCTGTACTAAATTTTAAATCATACCTGGGACAGTGCTACTTGATCCATCTCAGGGCATACCCGAGAAGAAAGACATGAATGTAGGATGTGAAGTCTTTAACAGGCAGAGCTCAAGCAGGCAAAGCCTCTGCCTTCCAGCCAGTTTTATTTGATCTCCTGACAACAAGTGCTACCAAAGACACGGTATTTACAGAACATCATGTCCTTTTTTCTGACACTCCAAGCCTGTGTCTAGTTGGATGTTACAGACAGCTAATGTCTTTCCCTGTATAAATTGTACTCATTACATTTGAAAAGGGAGTTCATATGCCTCTCTACAATGCTGCCCTAGGAAGTGCTTTCATATTTTTCCATTCTTTTGTGTCCTAGATCTGACTTTATATAAATTTCTTACCGTAGTCAAAAGATGTCATGCTACTAGAGGAGGAGTAGACTTCATAATGATTTTGCTGATTACAGGATTTGCACAGAGGATTTGTAATTCTTATTTCAGAAAAGCTCTATAAGTGTAAACACATTAAAATTTAAAGCTATGTTATTAACATTGTGTTTAGAAGTACTCATGGTTTTCTTCACTCACACTTTCACAGTGTTGAAAAGCTGGTTGAGGCTGCACGATATCATGTTGAGAGTTCTAGCAAAATCCAATATGAAATGACTTTAGAAGAAACAGATTTCTTCATCAATGGCGGTGTAAAAATGTTTCCTGACCCTGTTCCTGACCCTGTTCCTGTACCACAAGTTCCATGCATAAAAACCTCTAGAAGTACTCTAACTATTTCACAACTCACTAATCTTCATAAGCAGTTTCTACAGGTGGCACCTAAAGGTAGGAGATTTTTTTTTCCTTTTAACTCCTAAAGGGCTGTTAGTTACTCACTTACAATCTGGAGTAACTGTCTGAGAGTAACTGTTAAACATTAGTATGACTAAACATATTGATGAAGATCATGCTAGTGATGAAGATCATGATGAAGATCTTGCTACACAGAAAACTCGTAGTACAGAATACTGGAAATGTAAAGTACCAGACCGCTTGAAAGCTTCTAATGGCTTTGTTGTGGGCTTTGTATCCACAGGACCACATATTTAATATTCCTCCAACAGCTGCCTCTGTAATATGTTTTTAGAGGAGTACGTTTTGTGCTTGCTAAAGATTCAAGTCTGTAACTTGTTTACTAAATGACAGCTCAATGAACACTGAAGCTGTATTATTTTAAAACACAATTTTAAAGAAATCAGTATTTTCATGAAACTATTATAAAGGGTCTATTATAATTATTAACCATTATATTCTTCCAGTCAATGTGTGCCTGCTGTTTTGGATCTTAACTTAGATAATGTAATTTGTTAACTCAAATATGTAATTTTTCTTTTCTTTTGAATGTACACTTATTGTATGGGTGCCTGCTAATTATGGGAACCTTAGGCTTAGGATGGTTGCAGAGACTTACTTGCAAAACTTCCTACAACTGTACAAATGTTACAAAATAATTTAGGTAAGGCAGTTTTTAAACTGAGATGGAAAGTAGTTACACACATATTTGCAGTGTTTCATTACTACCAGTGTTCCATATATAATTTTAGTATGATTGCCCTTAAGATTGTGAAATACAGTGTGTAAACAACTACTTGCAATTTTAAATCTAACTCTTCCAATGTAATAAGACCACAAAGGCACTATGATGTTGAATTTAATTCTTTATTCAGAAATGCTTTTATGAATATTTATAGAGCAATTCCAATTTCCTTTTGCATATGAAACCATTTTAGGCAGAAAGATGTTTACAGTTTTCCCTTAGAGAGATGCATATCGTCTCATCTATAGTGGAGGAGTGTGGATGTGTGTGTAAGCATTTCAAAATCTTCTGTAGAGACTAATTTTGCAGATAGTATTGCATACACTATGACACATAAAACTAAAAAATCTGTATGTTTGTAATCATTAGAAAGTGCCAGAGAGGTGGAACACAGATACCAGTATGACTGGTCCTTTCACTTAAAAAGGGTCTTTTTGGTGTTAAGTCACTCATTCTTTAAGATATTTAAAACCAAAAAATTTTGTCTATTACTAACTTCAAGACAGACCAACTACTTTGCTTGTATACTTGTAATAATTAGCAAGAAAACAATTGAAATATTTATCTGTTACAATATTTGTCATTTTGATATTATTATATTCACTAAAATGACCCAACATGACTTGCATGGTACCCAAAAAACGAAATATCTTGACTTAGTAGTCCTGAGACAGTAACGGAATGGTGGTGCATGTTGTCTGGGACAATGGGAAGGAATTATTGTTTAAAATAAGGTCCCAAAAACATGCAAAAGCTTTCTTCTAGTCTCTGGTGACTATTAAGTCAAGATATTTACCTTTTTTGGATAGCTGAATTAGGATGAAAATCACAAGTTGTGCAAGTCATCTTTAAAATACTTCTTCCCATTCTTTTCCTTATTTTAAGACAACATAAATCGTGTCCTACATTTCCTAAGGCAACCGCTCCCCTTCATTATAAACTCATTTCTCTCCTAAAACATCAGGAAAATTTTTCATATCCATCTATCTCCTCTTGTTCAACAGAATGCTCAACATAAAATACATGCCTCCTTAGTAGTTAGTCTCTACTGAACAAAAGAGGGGAAAACACTAAAGCACCCAGCACACTGGCAGTGAAATTGTTGACCGGCAGCTCTAAAGCACATACAAAAAAGTAACAAACAAATCCCTGCCTTGGAGAACCTCTAAACTGATCTAGATGTGCTGCCAAACATCTTATTTTTTCTTATTCTCACCCACTCAAGCTGATCTCTCAGTGTTTAATGGAAGTCCACTCAAACAAGCACATGAGGCATAGGCTATTAGGCAAGTCTAAATAGAATAAACCTGCCAATCTCCTTGTCGTATGTGAATAGCAAAATTCCTGAAGTGGTTCTCAAAATTGCATATTAGGCTTTTTTAAAGCATTATGGAGATTACATGAAGCAGATTTTTACTTAGAAAGCAAGCACATAAAGAGTAACAAAGAAGGGGTGATTATGTTGGAAGAAGTGAACATGTAAACAGGTTTCTTACTGGATATTTGGTAAATGTCAAAAGTCTTTTCAAGATATGTTTAATAAATTGCTAAAATTAAAGCTAGAAGTTGGCATGCCAATATACTTTAAAGGATTTTGATATTCACAAAAGAATTCATATAAAAATTGTAAACAGTTTTGTGTTTCCTAGGAATTTAAAGTTTTAAAGAACTGCCGGTTTACTACAGACAACTTTGTACTGTCCTGCACACTTGGTTCTCCATGGAAGCACATTACTCTCCATTATAAGCAGCGATGGACAAAAAAACCCCAGCTTATGCTGGACCTTCCTACCTACTGACAGCCTTTCATTTGATAAGGAAATACTTTTTTTTTCTTTTTTACTATTCCACATGCCATTACCCAAGCTCAACATGGCTCTCCAATAATTGATGATTTCACTAACTCTTTTGATCAAGTTGTTGACAGTGCTCTAATATGTTACCTCAGGAATGCTTTTTTATAGGAAAAGCTGTGGCATGTAGAGCTACTAACTCTTACTTTTTTTATTTTCTCTTCTATGGTCTCTTTGGATATGTGTTCTTCTTATAAACAAAATTAAACTATTTATTAAATCTCATCCCCTTTGCTTCCCTTCAGCACTATGTTCTTCCTATGACCACATCTCTTGTCATTACAATTAGCATACATATGGAATGTCTTAGTTCTCTTCTAAAGATGCTTCAGAAAATGCAATTTGGGTATGGCTTTGCATTACTAAGCAGATCAAATTGGATTCTATCCCAGACTATGTTCTCCATCTTATGACTGAATCACACAAAGGAATTTTAAATTTTATTTTTTTTCGTAGTCATGATTTTTATGAACCATTCCAATTTAATTATAGAAGCCATTATTCACCAGAAATAAACTTCAGTCAGGTTAAAAAATTTCTATATCAAATAACAAAAAAATGTTTAAAATATTTATGAAATTATTAAGTAGGCTACTAAGACGTGAACATAAAGGACAGCCTATAACCAAATTGTATTGCTATTTCTATTCAAGTTGTAGGCTTGCCAGTTGAATTTTACTGTGTTGCTAGATTTGGAACAAATAGATATATTAAAGTGTTCATGTAGTTCAGCTGAATTGTTACCTTTTTAATAGAATATTTTTTTGAATCAGAATTTTATGCTGACCCTGGATAATGTCTATAGATTATGCTTTCTCTTCCCAAGCACTCTAGAAGCAATTCAGGATCTTACATTAGTAATCATCATGACCTGACTAATGTATGTAGGGATTGAAGTTCATATATGAGCACAGAAATAGGTTCATCATCTCTAACTTATATTTTTTGAGACTATTTATTTTCAATGTGCTTTTTAAAACTTGAAAATAAGAAAGGTTAAGTTTGTAGACAGAGGACGTATCTTTTACTAGATGAAAACTTGGTAATTCTACTGAAAGTTCCATTTAAACCTGCTGTTATATCTCTTACTAAATCATGTATGTTACTGAATTTCAGAAATTTGTGACTATTTGCCTATGGTGTTTATAAATCTCTGTATCTAATTACTTGTATGGAACATATTTAACATGGTTGTATATGTTTCTGTACATTTAATATATATATATATATATATATCCAGTTTTAAGATTTCAGTCAGCACAACAGAGGACCTCACCCCTCATTGCATCTGTGCAGCACCAGAAATACCTTACTCTCTGTGATTCTAAATTTAAAATCCCAATTCTTGCTATTTAGGATTGGACATATAGCAGAATCAGTAATAATTAGTAAATAGATGATGTAAATATTTACAGTGAAATTCGCCTGCAGGGAGTGATGAGTCTCTCAATAACTTGGATGGAAAGAATCATATATTTGAAATGCTTGTCTTTTTCATCTAAGTATGGAAGTATCCCATATTATTGCCTTTTAGACTACTAAAGTTAGATGAATGTAATTCATCCTCAAGGTTTATTTCACTCATGCTACAGAGTCTGGTGCATAACTTGCATGGATCATCATCCAAACCTCTTGATATTACTATGGAAATATTTTTCTCAGTGAAAATCTGTTCAAATGTTCTGGTAAAATTTTATGAAAAGGGAATATTAACATAATTCTCATCTCTAGTATAGGTTTGTTGCCTGTGTAAATTTATAATCTGAATTTTTAATAATTAGAGATATACTACTTTCTCAGTTTAGGGAAATATTTTCATGCCTGTATGAAAATATTCTGCTGATTGGTGTGTTTTTAAAAAAATCTCTTTTTTATATCTGTGCAGGGTGATTGCTCTTTGGTTAAATGTCCCAGTCCTGGTTCACACGGTACAAATCCAGTGTACACTTGCACTACTGTCATTCTTAATGCTCCTTTTTGGATGTTTAATTTTACTGTTTTCAATTTCATTTGCAGTCATAATCTTAATTTCTTCACTAATTACTTTTTGCATTTGTTTATGATGTTTCTGCACTGCTTTTTGAAACATATAAAGGCTTTCTAATGTCACCTTGTGTATTAGGGAATGATACCACCTTTTAAAAAGTTTTTAATGAAAAACAAGTTTACCTTGTGTAGCTTTTCTTACTTTCTGATTTCATTGATGACAAACTTTATGTGAAAAAGAGGCTGCTTCATAAGTAGTACAGGCTGGCTTCCTTTTGTATCCTGTGTTCTTTCCAAAGTACTACTGCAACAGATACCACCTTTTCCTATGTGTCCCAGTTTCTGCATGGAAACTGAAAAATGTTGGTAACATTGAAGGTCTGTCTTACAGAGAATATTATCCCTGGCAG